TATGGCTAAACAGTCCGCCCTTCTTGTTTCATCGTCTCGCCAGACAAAAATTTTTAAGATGTCGCCGTTAATAGATTCATCGGAATGTACATGAGCACAAAAATGAAACAACGTTTCCGTACAATATTGTTTTCAAATTGACCAGAGATTTGTATAACGTTTTTAAGACGACAGATTTCATTATGGCGTTAAGACATTTTCAATTGTGTTGCTGATTATATGCAACAAGTGTTTAAGTTTTGTCAAATATTATTTCATTTAAGCAAGTCTACAGAAAAAAATGAGTTGGGATAGCTATATTGATAATCTTATCGCCCAGACCAAAGATGCTAGTGGTACAGCACATGCTGATAAGGCATGTATTATTGGGTTAGCTGGTGGTGCAGCCTGGACAACAGCTGGTCATGCAAATGCATTAAAGGTTTTTTGACTATATTTTAAAATTCAATGGTGGAATTTGCCATTTTAACATTTTGTTTTTCTTTAGCTTCAAGGATCCGAGGGTGCAAATATTGCCAAAGCATTTAAGGCCGGAGATTTCACTTCATTTCAGGCTGGTGGAGTTTATGCTGAAGGAGTAAAATATCAATTTTTGCGAGAAGAAGATGGTAAACTTGTCGTTGCTAAAAAGAAAGATCAAGGTGCCTTAACTCTTCAATCTAGCAAAACAGCCATTGTTATTGCTCACACACCTGAAGGATGTCAACAAGGAAATACAAATAAAGGCGTGCGTGTGATTGCTGAGTATCTAGAAAGCTTAGGAATGTGATGATACAAAACCTTTGAACATAGCTTTGTTAAAAATTTGATTATTTGCATTGAAGACATATTTCCCATTTCTTATGGTGAACTTTGCTCATTGGATTTTTCTCCTTATTTTGATTTGTAAATGTATAAAATTGAACTAGATCAATTCAAATTGGTAGCACAACTCAAGTGTCTTATCATTTTGACAGTACCACACAGCTTCATTTATCACGAGCGATGCAGGAAGCTTAGTTCTATTCTCTTGTTCAAATGTTAAATGATTCTGTTTTACTCTTATAATTTGGTCACGAATGGTTCAAAACTGAAGAATGTAATTTTGGTAAAATAAAAATACTTTTGAAATTTTTGGTGTTTATCTCTATTACTGTGAATCAATGAAAAAATGTGTTGTAGAAAAACACACGAAGTTTAATGCAACTTTAAATTTTTAATTCTCTCGTAAACTCTGCAAATAACAAAACTGATCATTGTTTATGAGTCTAGTACTCGTCTCCCTCTTCTTCACCCTCGGCCTCAACACTGTCAACACCAACTTCTTCGTAATCTTTTTCCAACGCTGCCAAATCTTCTCGAGCTTCAGAGAACTCGCCTTCCTCCATGCCTTCACCTACATACCAGTGAACAAATGCTCTTTTGGCATACATCAGGTCAAACTTGTGGTCGAGACGAGCCCAGGCTTCAGCAATTGCTGTTGTGTTGCTCAACATACAAACAGCTCGCTGGACTTTAGCAAGATCACCACCTGGTACCACAGTCTGTGATTGGTAGTTGATACCAACTTTAAAACCTGTTGGACACCAGTCAACAAACTGGATTGTGCGCTTTGTCATGATGGTAGCGATAGCAGCATTCACATCCTTAGGTACAACATCACCTCTGTATAGAAGACAACATGCCATATATTTACCATTTGATTGGCGGGTTCAAAGCAAGCGTTGGTGATTTCCGCTACACTCAACTGCTCATGGTAGGCTTTTTCAGCAGAGATGACTGGCGCGTAGGTAGCCAATGGAAAATGAATACGTGGATAGGGTACCAGGTTGGTTTGGAACTCGGTAAGATCAACATTCAAAGCACCATCAAAACGCAAGGATGCTGTGATTGAAGACACGATTTGACCAATGAGACGATTAAGTATATGTTGGTCGTTCGATATCAAGATTACGTCGACAGATGTCGTATATTGCTTCGTTGTCAACCATAAAACAACAGTCGGAGTGCTCCAAGGTAGTATGTGTTGTAAGAATGGAGTTGTATGGTTCAACTACAGCAGTTGAAATCTGTGGGGCTGGGTAGATCGCGAACTCCAGTTTTGATTTCTTGCCATAGTCAACAGAAAGTCGTTCCATCAACAGTGAGCTGAATCCTGAACCTGTTCCACGCCAAAGGAATGAAATATCAGGAATCCCTGAAGACCTGTACATTGATCAGCCAGCTTTCGGATGCGATCAAGAACAAGATCGACAATATATTAACCGATGGTGTAATGGCCGCGAGCGTAGTTATTAGCAGCATCTTCTTTACCGGTGATGAGCTGTTCAGGATGAAATTATTGTCCGTACGTTCCTGTACGAACTTCATCTAGACAAATAGGGAAATATTATAAGTCAAAAAATGGCGCTTTTGTGTTGATGGTGAAAAGCAATTATTGTTTAGACATACCTACTACAGTTGGCTCCAAATCTACAAAAACAGCTCTTGAAACATGCTTTCCTGCTCCTGTCTCACTGAAGAAGGTGTTGAAGGAGTCGTCACCTCCACCAATAGTCTTGTCACTTGGCATTTGGCCATCAGGTTGAATACCATGCTCAAGGCAGTACAGTTCCCAACATGCGTTGCCTATTTGGACTCCAGCTTGACCAACGTGTACTGAAATACATTCGCGCCGTAAATTGATAAGAAAGAGCAAAAAATTGCTAAAATTATTCGAAAAAAGAGAGTTTCAGTCTATCTCAAATCGTTTTTAAAAATTTCAAGTTGTTTTGCTGTCGTTATCTATCGCAATTTTAACATGGAAAAACTCTTGAGAAAAACTGAAACGTTCATTTAAATTGTATCTTTGTATATCAAGAGTTTGATACTTACCATTTTTAACTATTTCAAAGCTACAATAAAGCTAGAAAAGTATTAAAAGTATGAAAAAAACACAAATTACTGGTTTGAAAGTAACGTGAACCGTCGCGATTTGCAAAAGTGGTGCTGTAGTGAAGTCACAAAAGGATAACCTTTCGTCACCAAAAACCAGTTTGACAGTTTTGGATGCTTTTGACCGTTAATATCCATAGTAACTCCAATCATATTAACGCAAGGCCTGTACGTCATTACCATTTTTGTAACAATTGCAAATCGTCATTTGATTCAGAAAACCTGATTGCAGATCTCGTCAGATCTGATTTTGCTTTCATTCTGTGTTTTTGGTCACCGGAAAATCAAGAAGAATACTTTGAAAGTGAAGCAAAGAAATTTAATGGTAACATATTTGATGTTTAATGACAAATGCTTTTAAATGCTTTTTAAGATTGAAGATGATATTTTGTCTTAACTATTTGCCAGCTTTTAAATTTTTGTTTCAATTTTACACGCGCCTTACCTGATAAAAAGGACTGGGGATAGCTAACTTTCTTCAGAAATATTTTTCGTAAAAAATTTGTTTTTCAATTTCTAAAGATTCGAGCCATATTTTCGGGCAGGCTAGCACCAAAAATGGATAGTTTCAAGTTTCAACTTCAATAATTCCGAATAAATCGAAAAGACAATTGATTGCAGTCTGCACATTTATGGTCAGCGAAGATTCCCATTTTTACAGACATGCAAAATACGAAAATGACGAAAGTTGACGAAAGGTCGTTCAAAAGGGAACTGTGTCGTTCAAAGGGAACTATTAAAACATGTCTCTCTTGCATTGAAATTGTCAAATTTTGTTTTAAATGGCCGCGATTTTGATGTTATAGGAAAATATAAATCCATCAGTGGTAAATTGAGAACTGAAGGTACTCTGTCTGCTGATGTGAAATAGTGAAAGTTTATGGTCAGCTTCTTTTTACTTTCTTTAATATTTAGACGATTTCTTCGAAAGCCAAATGTAGCTGAAGCCAGCCAACAATTTGGTGAGATAATGTCTGATCTTATCAATTCCTAACTTTATTGTATGTATGTTTTCACTTGTGAATTTCTCTAAAAAACTGTAAAAATAGCACAGTAAAATCAAAAAAAATTGGACGTTAGTACCTAGAAATATCAATAAATATCCTTGATGCTCTTAGATGTGTACATCATGTTTACAAAATTGTGCAGAATTTCATATTCTGAAATTTTTTTAGACCATGCATCATACCTTTACTATTTGTTAACTTTGCTGGTAGTACTGGAAAAAAATTGCTGCTAGCCCTGTGCGGTCTTTACTCATTTTGTGAAATAGCTGAACAAATTCTTTATTCCTATTTATTCAAACGTAATTGGCCCAAAATTCTGGTTATACTATACCTATGTTGGTACAATGTTTCTTAGCAACATATTGTGACATTTTGTCAGTTTTTCATTGGTTAAGTGGTTAAGACAACATTCTTCGAGTGAACATCACTCACTAAACAAGGCCAAAATTAATAGTTTCAACCGGTATCCAAATGAATATTAAGGTGTCAAAATTTAGTATCCAAAATTAAAATTTTGCATCGGAAATTTTGATATCATAGTGTACATTTTATGGGCAATATCTATGCAATGAAAATCGTCACAGGACACGTATGATTTTCAGACACACTGTACACTTAAACTATGCAGCAACTATGGATTGTTTAAGTAGGGTAAAATAGAAGAACTTCATATATTCTTGATGAATGAACTTTAAAAAGTGCATTTAAAATGATAATTTATGATGGTAAAACCAATGAGAGTCAGATTCTTCAGACTCAGAATCAAACATTGCTAAGACGTCATGCAGCTCTGACTTCTCAACAGTTTCACATGTTTTTATACTAATACGTTTTTCACCAGCTAACACCTTACAACAGCATTCTGCCATTTGCTTCAGTTTTTTAGTATCCCATATGGATACAAACCCAGTGATATGTAGTATCCAAAATTAAAATCAACTATCCTGTGGATATTGGGATACTGTAAATTTTGAGCCCTGCTAAACATTTGTTATTGTTTTTGTAATCTTCGTGTAATTTCTTTATGTAATCCTTGCTACTCTGATTCCTTGTTGAAGTTTTTAATGCTATATTATTTAGACCATCTTTCCAAAGCATTACAACAGCAGGATTGTCTTCAATATGCAGGATTTTGTTGCTTGGCAAAAGCTAGGTAAGAATTAATTATTGACTCTTCCGTCATCTCTTTGATTTGACTTAATTTTTTATGTATGTTTAGATGTGAAAATACCCTTGGTAATTCATGTGGGGAAGTTGAAACTCTAACCCAAGCTGGTATAATATTTTTGAAAAATTGTCTTTTGAGGATATGTGCAAATTACAATTTCTCAATACATTGCTTGAGTTTTATCCAAGGCCTGAAGTTGCTACAGAATTTCGCATGAAAAATTCTTCTCATTGCTTGTGTCTTGTTCAATGTTTTTAGCTAGGTTGTTTCTAAATGCTGAAAAGGAGTCGCTTCGTCTCAATTGAAATTCTTGAGAGAATTTCAAGCACAGATTGCTACTTCCATGACAAAAACAGGAAAAGAAGTACAAACGAAGCGTGGTCGACCATCTAACTCTCCCAGCCAGCCAATTCAAAACAAGAAACGAAAAGCATCTACACCAAACCCAACCAATGATGTACGATATGACAGTTTTGCCCATTGGCCCATACCAATTCAAAATAAAATGTGCTGCAAAAACTGCATTAAAGGCTATACCAGAATAAAATGCATCAAATGTGAAGTGCCTTTGTGTTTGAATAACAACAATAATTGCTTTTTGAAGTATCACAAAAAGTAAAATTGTTATAGTTGTAAATATTTCTTACTTGTAGTATTGCTATTTTGTACATATTTTTTTCTTTTACTTGGAGTAAATGGGAGCATCACTGATCAATTGTATTTTTAGTTAATTTTATGGATTTTAATACGGGTAAAATAATTATAACCCTTCAATGTCAATCAATAAAAATGAGTATTAAGTATAGAGCTATGTCACTATACTCCCAATGTTGCCATTTGGCAACAAAATTTTAATTCCATGAAAATATAAATTTTTAGACTAGCAATGAAATTCATGACATATTTAACATTGTTTTTTCATGCGTATGTAGCGCAGAAAAAATTTTTTGGCCACGGCTAATAATTTGGGAATGAAAGGGTTAACATTCTTAACCATGACGCTGGCAGCTACCCCCCCACAAAAATTCGGCAAATACTGATGTATATATATATAGATCCATCAATCATTTATCAAATAGCTCGAAAATTTTCAATCAAAATCAAAAACTTGCATTAGCATACACAAAATTTAAAGCTTAGTTTAGCATTTGCCCTAAATTCAGGCTTCACAATAAATTGCGTTCTTGTGCGCCACCTCATTTTAATCGTCTGTAAATTTCGCTTGTTTCGTCTGTCAACCCATCTCACAAGTTTGTATTTAGAAATATTGCTCAAGAAAAAATGACGACATCGTGCACGGAATAAGACAGTCGTCAGTAGTTTTCACAAAGTAAGACCAGTTATTACCAGTGAACTCATAATAACTGGAATGATAACTTGAAACCAATATGTATATATATATTTATATGGAGTTCACTGGTTATTACCAGCTAGGGCTCGATTTCACGAAGGCCGAATAGCGCTATCCAATGCAGAGCAAAATTTTTTGAAAGTTTAACTCATAACTGCAATACAATATTTCAACTGTAATAATATATTAGTTCAGAGAATACAAAATTTCTTTGTCGTTAATAAAATATGAACACCTGTTGCTACACATTAAAAGTTTTGCAACCCAATTGATAACGCTATTCAGGCTTCGTGCAACCAGCCCAGGTTTTGAGCACACTTCATTCATTAATTAATAATTTTTTCCTTCAAAAGCGATATCATTGTTGTAATAAACTTAATTCTTCTTCTACACACACATCATCTTTTAGGAGGCTGTGTCGATCATGTTCAGCAAAACGGCCGCTTAAAGAAATATCAAAATCGTGCAGATGACAGGATGCAAAGTTAGGGCAAGCAGCATAATTATAAAAAGGGCCTTAGATAGAAACGTTCTAATCCTCTCTTACATTTATTAAGTGCTTTTGACAAGGAATTTTTTATCGTCCTTTCAAAAATAATTTTTACATGCTCATTTCAGAAACTACTAAAAGTTTTGTACTTCGAACTTAAGAACTCTGGAGTAAGGAAGAAAAGCCCTAAAATGGGATTTTCACTTGCTTTTTTTTATTCAATTTATTCTTTAGTTTGCACAAGTCACATCACTTCTTACTATACTTTTCTCCTATAAGGTAAAACCTCTGCTACAAATATTGATCTGCCTTCATTCATGGGAGAAAAATAATCCAAAGATGAACTACTACCCTTTTTAAAATACTCTACGGAATTGATAATATGACCATCAGACCATCCCCCATGACAACAATAATATCTCCTGTAATGACTGCACAGCAAGAAGATGTTTCAGTGATCTTGCCTGTGTTCGAATTATATGTACATAATCACACTGTTTAACAATTCATTTCCATCATAACCACCAAGAAGACCAACTTGATCTCTCCATGAAACTGTTGCCATTTGAGTCAGTGGATAAGGTAATGGAGTCATTTCTGTAAACATGCTTGTCTTTGAATTAAGACCCAACACACTTTCTGATAATTTACCATCTACTTCCCCACCAATAATCAAAACTCTATCTTCAAAAACCTCACGACAATGATATTGTCGAAAATGAGGCATGAAACTTAGCACTTTCAAAACATCTGATGTGTCAGCAGAAGGGTTTAATTTACAAATCTCCTTTGATTTTTTTATCAGAAGAGGCCCTACGTTGAACACAACCTTCAGTATGCAGAACTTGCTGCCGACAAACAACAGTTTTATGCCCAATGCAACGATAAGGAATCACAGATAATTTTACCCAATTTAAAGGCAGCCTATTAAGATTCCATTTTTCTGTTGTATTCAATCTTTCATTTGAAGTAAACTTACTAAACATACCAACATCACCCCTCCAATGACAAACAAATGATCATTCTGAATAAATGATGAAGCACCCTGGTGAGTTTCATTCATTGATGGCACCTCAAACAATCCTTTTCTTGCCATGAGAATATTTCAGCACTAGAACATTAGATAAGGCCAAAGGTATATAAAACATTCCCATGTGTTCGACCACCAGCAACTAAAATATCCTCAGTTGTTAAGTTCATTATTCTTTAAGTTGGTGATGCTACACAATATTGATGTGCTGAAATCATTTGTTCCAACTTTTGTATTTTGTCATCCATTTCTTTGTGAGAGTTTTTTTACCATAATAGCAAGATTCTGTTGAAAGTCTTTAGTTTCCTTCATGGATTCCATTATTCTTTCTGTATTTCCGCAATTTTCTTAGTTGTCGCTTCAAAGTTTTCGTTCATTGTTTCAAATTTATCGTCAATATTTCGATGTACTTCATCAGTTAATAAAACGATGACGTCTGTACAAACATGTTTCAACAAGGCAACAACATAATAATGGTCGCCACAACCAGCATTCCTGTATTGACGCACCTCAGTTTCATGATAAATCTTGTCCCTTTTATTTATCTCTAGGCCACATCCTTCATTGGAGCAAATCTCTGGAGTCAAGTCACAGTTCTCCACATGTCTTTGAAGACTTTCAACGTTTATAAATTCAACACAACCTCGACTAACGTAGTCGCAATTGATCTTGAACTTCGCCAAAAAGTTGTTTTAATTCTCGCCTGCCGTAGTGTAGCTTGGGTCAACTCTTCTTGACATTCAGGACAGTTTGGTGAATTTACACGTAAATGTTCCTCGATGCAGTAACATCAAAATATATGATCATTATTGCTACAAGTTCTTGCATCTTTAACAACATTTAGACATGTACAAATCGAACAAAGTTCTCAAATTGAGACCTTTCGTAGCCGCGATTTTCGTCGTTTACGTAATAAGCCATTTTATAATTCTATGAAATTATATAATATGGAAAAGAACGAGAAACTTAACTATCCGTATCTACACCACTAATCTACACCAATGAAGAAGTGAATCAGTGAACTCTGAAAGTGTAATATAATATACACACTGGCAGCCTGATTCGCAAATGGTGATTACTTAGATACTCCCACTGACTGTCTCTCACTCACTGGCATAACCAGTGCTCGAACTGGCCAAGTTTAGGGCCTTGCATTTTCAACTGTAATATGGGCCCGTAAAATCTATCCCCGCAAAAATTTGGAAATTAGATTTCGAAATGCATTTCATGCAATTTAATGATGATTTTATTGTAATCTAGATTGTTTTGTATTTCTGAATAAATTCAGATTTCACTGCCGTTGTAAGTAAAACTAGTTTGGTGCTATAAAAAAGGTAACCTCCGAAGTATTCGACGCTGGTCTATAGTATTAAGACGCTCCAGGACTTTTTGTTTCTTTTAGACATTGTTTTTCCATTGCACACTTTATGGCATGCTTTAAACATCTTTGACTGTTTTCGTCAATTAATTATCACACTTTGACAATTGACAAGAACAGGAATCGAACAACTCGTTGAATTTCAGTCACATTGATAAAATATAGTTGTGCGTAACAAGGGCTACATACCCAGTCCAAGCCTGAGCACAACTTTCGGGGAGGGGTCACAAATACAAAATCACATTTATTGCGTTCTTATGCTTTCCACAAACCATTGCCATTACAGCAAAATTTTCTTCTAACTGGTTTTCTCCATGATAACGTTTTCCTATCTCACCCTCGGAATTTTTACTGCGCATGCAAGAGCCCATGGCCTCCAGATCAGCCTTGCTGGTAAAGTTCTCTGATGCAATCAACTCAAGTCCACGAACTTGTCGTGTTTTCTCCTTCTTCATGATATTGAAGACCACAGGGTCATTCTTTCAGCTAATAACTAGATATTAAAGGCTTTTCACTAAACAAAATAGAACAAAACTTTAGCATAGCTGGAGACAACATTCTGAAAGTTTAATGCTCAAAACGTGAAGTTGAACACACTTCATTTTTTAATTTTAGATTTTGAACCGAAATTGAAAATCATTTATCAACATGAAAATGAGAAATAATTTGCATTCTATAACATTTTGAGAACTTTTACATTTGAATTACTTTTTTAATGCTTAATCCGTTACATATACACACAACCCAACATTGATATTTATTTCATTTCACTAAACAAATAGGCTGCAATGAGTTCAGCCAGCTTGCACACAACCCAACATTGCCATTTAGCCTAAAATAACTCGATGAAAGTATTCTAATGTTTCCAGTTCACTTTGCGCATTAAGACTCACATACGGCCATTGGGTGCATGATAGTAAGCAACAGGACGGGTATGCATACACAGAGGAAGAGACTGAAAGAGAAATCATATTAGAAACCATGTATATGAAAAATAATGCTTAATATGGATAGAAAATTTGAGTGTGTTACGCATGATATCAAGGAATTTGTCACCTAAACCTTGAAATGTTAAATCCTTATATCAAAAGTTCTAAATCATTCTTTTCTAGGCAAGGAAAATACCTAATACCCACTAGGTTAAGGGTTTGCCCTTTGGTATCATAGACAATGCATGATTTTTTAAAGAATTATGATATCATCAATTCCTTATAGCAACCTATTATAAATTACAAAAGCAAGTCTACAATTTAAGCTAGATTTTATGACTTAATGCAATACCAGCATGTTTTCTGGTAAAACAAGAATTACCAGATAATAATATTATACAAAATTGATAGTAAGAAACTTTCCATCCAGCAGACCAAATTATTTTTACAAAACCTCAAAAATCAATTGCAGAATATATAAAGCTCGTTTAAAAAAGCAAAAATGTCAAAATACAGCCATGTCAGCATGTCAGCCTAATGTAAAACTCCATTTTGCTTCTCCGATTTCAAACAATTAATAAGCAATAGTCAATTATTCACGCAGTGAATATGTTGAGTTCAAAGGGTTTACATGCAATCAAAATATGATGTACAATTACTAAAATAAACCCAGAATTTCAATATAAGATTACATCGCATTTGCACGTGGTCTGCAATTTATTTATAATTCCGTAATCTACAAGTGCTCGAAGTTCATCAATAACCCTAATCCCAGTAATCTTACAGATTAGATTACGCAAACTTGTTACTTACTGTTATCGAACAGGAATTTGTAACTCTACCTGACAGGCTTGACCTTGTTGTTTCTCAAAGAAATGACTCTTCCAAAGCTTGAACGTTTATTATAGAATATAGATTAAGTATACAAACTCTAGAATGTGTTTCCCGTATCTTTTTGTTTGGTTTATAATTGGTCTGTCACTGGTCTGTTCAGTGTCCAATAAAGTTCCATTATTTGTCTATGTACTTTCTCCTATAAGGCAAAACCACTGCAGCAAATTTGTTCTGCATTCATTAATTGATGGAAGTCAAACCCATGAAGAACTACTTCCTATTTTGATATACTCTGCTGTATTGATTATACCATGAATAAGATCATCCTCCCATAACAACAATCATATCTCTCGCAATGACTGCACAGCAAGAAGTTCTTTTGTTCAACACAGATGGCAATTTGGTGGGCTCGCCCACTGGTCTCGTCTGTCTTAGAAATAGAATCATACATTGTAACATTGTTCAAAGGTATCGACCTATTGCATGATATACATCCAATGAGGATAATTTGATCTTCTCGTTTAACTGTGGCCATTAAAGATGAGGTCTTAAAGAAAAGGTAAAAGTATTAAAGAAAAGGTAAAGATGAGGCAAAGAAGATAAGGTATTGGTAACATTTTTGTAAATCTACTTGTCTTTAGATCAATGGCAAAACACTGTCAAAGTTTATTGACGATGTCTATTGCTTGTCCACCAATGATCAAAACTCTATCTTCCAAAACCACACAACCATGATTTTGTCGAGGTTGCGGCATCACGCATAATTCTCTCGCACAAGGTGTGGTATTAGCAAGCCTCAATTTGCAAAACCTATTTGCAAATTTAAGTTATGAAAACAATTAATTGAGGAAATGTATCGTAGCTTATAGCTTCATAAAATTCATCACACTTCGAATATCAGGAGTTTATAAATGTCTTTCTTCACAAAAATATTAAAATTTTTCGGGCAGAACTATGAACTTGTAACTCTGTTCTTTTTTCTGTAATAATTCAATGATATGATGTTGCGGTTTTCTTTGGTTCTATATTTTCTTAAAAGCTTTAGTGTCTTTGATGTGCTCACTGAGATCTTAGGTGAATGCGAGTTGATCATATGAACCTGAAATAGCTTATGCATGTCATGACGCTCTGACAACGCCAATTGGATGACTAATATTCATATATGCACGTTATACTTTAATTCTTTCTATTGAAATGAATTGTGATGAGGGATTATAACATATGAATGTATAAATATTAGCACACCCCAATTAGCGATGTTCCTGTGTCACTGCATGTGAACGCTGATGTGTGATGAATTAATTTTTTTATCGCACTTTGTACTCGTTATGTCACCATATACAGTGCATGAGAGGACAGTTTTTAAAAATTTTATTTTTGTTTTATACTCTACGGCTTTCAAAGAGCTACGGGCTTAGTGGTTTCATTTATAGATTTAAGAAATAAAAGGTGTTTACTGTGTTTGCCCTGGCTTATGCAAACCGCGGAGACGTTTGCAAGAACTCTCGAACATGTGCAACCCTTGACCTTTTGTCTCGGGCTTGCACTGATCTGCTGTCGAGTTCTCCCAAAGGTCTCCTGGGTTTGCATAAGCGTTTTCTTGTAGCAAAAATTTATAGATGTTAAAATTAATATAAAGAGCAAAGTGCAAAAATAATTTATTCATCATTTACCGCCATTCACATCACATGCAAGTCGATTGAGTTTCATATGATCAATCTTTATATTTACATATGATCTTACAATAAGCTTTATTACACCGAGAATTTGAGGTTGAGAGAACATATCAGAACAAAAAAGAAGAAAAGGGACATAAATTATAGAATTGTCAGGTGAGTCTATTCAAAAGAAAAGTGACACGGCTGGAAAAGAATAAAATGAGATCCACGGCATTTAGCCATAAAATATATTATGGGTAAATATATTCTGGGATTTGAGAATTGACTTACTTATTACTCAAGTGACATGTATTTAACAGTTTCTTTCTCATGATATAAATTTTTCCGGGTAACAAATGGAAACATCAAGTGCTTGCGTTTCTTAAAATTTATCAAGTACATATGTAAAGACTTATATGCATGTGACTATACAAAAGAAAGATATCTGTTACTTGTGAAGATTATCTTACTGGCTTGACTCACAGTTAGCTAATGCCTTTCAAACAAAAGATGAACTTAAAATAGCAGTAAATGGCATTATTCGCTAGCTATATTTTTTAAAATGAATTTTTACTAAGATTTTATGCAAAATATCAAATGGACTTGAATGAAAATATCACACCTTGTTCTATACTTAATAAAGCGAAAATTTCCAATGTAAATCATTATTTCTTAGCTGTATTTATGTCACCACGACCAATGATTTTTTCAGAATATACATTAAAAAGGATTTGGGCAATAATACTTGACTTATAATATGTGAAAAAATTAATTCATTGATATACATTTCGTTTTAGTCATGAAATTTTTCTACATTTCATTACTGGTGCTGATTTTTCAAAAATCAGTGAAAATGAAATATTTGGAAGAAAGAAATGAAGGAAAGATAAATTTATCATCGCAAATAGCAGAAAAACAGGTGAATCAACTAGATATTCTTTCCAACCTGAGCATGTTTAACAATCGAAAATTGTACTGGCTGCAGTTTATAGGTCACATCATAGGATATTGCAGTACTCCTGTTTTCCTTTGCACAAATTGTGCAAATGACGTCACTACCGTTAGAGAAAATTTTTTCAAGATTTTATCCATAATGGCAGGATTTGAATAACCTTCCCTGCAAACATCTCAGCAATTAATTTTTTAAAATACATTAGTGCTACTATCATCGTTAGAGAACACAACGCTTTTAAAATATGCAATAAAAAGTTTCGTTGCCAATGTCATAAAAAAATTAAGATCATATTAGTTTATTTGGTTTAAAGTTTTCAATAATTTTTAATGAGGCCATTTTCAAATGCCCACTGCTTATTTATCGAGTTTCACTGTGTAATAGTTTATATTATCCATATTTTTTCTTTGACGTCATTTTACACATCGATTACTAATCCCGATAAAAATTTTGACCTCTCCAACTGAATACCTTTGGATGTTTTACAAAATAGATGTATTCTTTATAAAAACAAAGTAATGCTGTCGATAATCACGATTCAATTAGCAAATACTGCTGCGTTACTTAGGTTTCTATTCCAAACCTGTTCTGATCAATATTGCCAATTTTTTTTACTGTCTTTCTTTTTAAATTTAATTGACCATAAGCATTGCGTAATCGCTTCAATGACGTTTTTCTCACAAATATTGCCATTTAGGGGTTTGTTCAGGTGAGCACGGTAGCCGGGATTCAGCGAAGCGTTAAATCATCTTGGTCAATGGAAAAGATTAGATATTTCTCAATGAAAAACTTATTTGAGCAATTTCTATCTGCTCTGACTTTGCAAATTCGTAAAACCTCTAAAATGAAAACAAATAATTTAACCAGATTTGACAATCACAACTAAAACGACTTATGACGCTTAAAAAAATGTTGTACGTTTTGCGCTTAACATTTTTACTTAAAATCTACGTTCAACAGTAGCTTGTGATTATATCATTAATATGCATAAATATTTAAACATATTATTTTCCCATTGCACCAAATCCATACTTGGTATGATTCCAGGTGATCAACAATTCACATCGGATGCATTGGTTACAATAAAGTTGAATGTAGAAGAAGCAAAAATAGATGGCAAAGAACTTTTTTGTGTCTTATGAAGATTTAGTAGAAATCAATAAAAGCAATTCTTTAAACAAATTGTAAACAAATTTGTTCATGGTCAAGTTGCTCATGGTCAAGCAGCCTAGTGAAAGAAGCAAAATCTGTCTTCAGCATGTGACCTTTCCAACTATGTTTAGTTTCTTCACTTACACTGTCAATTAACTATTTTGCCTTAATGTAGCTATTTTGCCTTCATGTGTTTTTGTCAGCGAAACCAATGCACTTTAGTTTCGAAGTTTGTAATTTCAATGGAAATTAATGTAGTTCTGTTCAGTAATAGATCCATGGTTCTGCCATGCAGTTTACAAAATACAAATTTCCAACCAACGGTATTATCATGGTGTTTTGAATTTTTTTACTTTTTGTAGCTCTTCTAGTTCAACATACTTCTTTATGAGTTTTCAGTAGTTTTATCAGGTCATTACAATACACTTATGATACTTATCCATAGTAAGTTTTCAGTTGACTTATGTCGTAGGACAGAAGTAAACATTTTCTCGCTTCCTTAGGAGCATTTTTACACAGATTTATCCATTTGAGCAAGAAAAATAGTTGCACCAAACTGATTACAAACAGTCAAACACACAGAAGCATGAAATAATGTATAAGTTTGACAAGATTGACAGGTCTACTAAAGAATGCCGTTTGATTTTCACTTTTAAAAGGTTAAAATGTCATAAAATAACTTGAATGTTAAAGCCAAAATATGCGTTTCTCTACCTTCGAATTTCTTTATTTTGATGTGTGTGTGTACTGTGTTTTTCACACAATGCTGAAGCATTATTTTCACATATGCTGTCGTTATCATAATTGTTTTTTTTCACTTGTTATCGTTGTATAAACAGTATGATAAATCAGGAGGGAGTGAATATGGAAAGAAAAGTTTAAAGTGGAAGTTTTAGCCACCAAAATCTTCCATTTCTGCCATGTGTTTGACAACCGGGTCCAGGTCCCTTTTCCTCTCCAGGTCTTATAGAACTCAATGATTATAGATAAACAAATCCTGCGATTTGGTATTTGACTTACTTAGCTATTACCCAATCGACGTGAAACCCTTAGCTTCATTTGGACATTCAAAAACACGAGCAATTAATTTTTCTGAATATGCATTTAAGAAAGATTTGGGCATCAATATTTGACCTAATAGGTAAAGAAACTAATTTATTTAAACATATCGTTTTAGTCATGAAATTTTTCTACATTTCATTACTGGTGCTGATTTTTCACAAATCAGGGAAAATGAAATATTTACAAGAAACAAATGAAGAAAAGATAAATTTATCATCGCAATAGATATTCTTTCGAACCTGAGCATGTTCGACTATCAAAAATTACTACCACAGTTTAAAGGCCCTTGAGTTGTACACTCAACGGGACTCGTACCCATGACCTCTGCAGTGCCAGTGCAGTGCTCTGACCAACTGAGCTATGAAATCACACAGTGGACGGCAGGTGAATTTTGTTGGGCTCATGTAGCCCAACAAATGACCAACAACAGCCCAATCCCGTTGAATCACCTGAATTTTTCAGGTTCATGAGACAATTGCTTAAATTGTCCAGCAAAGTGCGAAGATCATATCTTCATTCAATTTCAAACACCGCACTGCATATAATAATCTTTCATATTACATTCCTTTCACGGGAAAACATTAGCCCAACATATTGACTTGCTCTCCACTGTGTGACTTCATAGCTCAGTTGGTTAGAGCCCTGCACCGGCACCGCAGAAGTCATGGGTTTGAATCCTGTTGAGTCACCTGAATTTTTCAGGTTTTTGAGACAATTGCTTAAATTGTCCAGCAAAGTGCGAAGATCATATCTTCATTCAAATGAGTTGTATATCTTAGGATATTGCTACATTCCTGTTTTTCTTAGCACCAACAGTGCTCTTTGCTTCAATTATCTACGTTCCAACCCACAAACATACTAATCATAAGAAAATCACAAAAACCTGCAGTTGAAATCTTACATTCATAAAGTCATTGCACGCAAATTAAATTTGAGTCATAATTGCAGAAATGCAATTTCGAAAAGAAAAATGTCAGACCAAAATACGTTAAAAAAATACTTTAATTTACCGCTTTAACACAACTATAACATTTTGTAATTTGGACTTCAAAACTTCTTCTTATGACAACAAATTAAATTTCGACACTTTTAATGACAGGCGAAAATTTTTTGAAATTCCACTATCAATACTATCAAAAATTCTGACCTAAAATTGTCAAAAAAATCTTGAGGATTCATCAGCTCTGTAAAGAATTTGTATAAAAAATGTGACTTTTACTAATACGACCATAGAGACTCAGAGTATACAATTTTTTGTGTTTGTAATAGATCAAATTTATTTTAGAGTGTGAGTGAAAATACCATGTGGAGTTCTTTCCGGTGGAAGACCATTTTATTGCGAGGAGGAGGAGACTTGCTGTCACGATCGCAATGACAGAGGAAAGTTGGTTGCTTACTATTGTTGCCCTGCGCTCAATGGCGTATGTTGCAATAATTTACGTGGTGTTTACTTTTCTCGATATGCATAAGCCCTAGTGAGTGTAGGCTTGTTTGTAAGATGAGCAATAACCTAAATGAATAAAAGTCTTTCTTTTCCACTTGATCTTTTAATGACTGAAACCTTAAACTAAGGAGCAGTCTGGACTTGATGAAGTCTGCACATCGTAAGCAACTTCAGAGCAATCTAAATGAACAACATTGAGGCTTTTCCCTCATCTTTTGTGGGAGAATAATAATTTATTACGGATATGAATGGCGTCAATTAAAGGAACCAGTCAGGGACCAAAGTCCCAATTGCTGTTAAGACATTCAGAACTTTTTCATAAGGTCCTGAGTCATGACAATGCAATTTAGTACCCATTCTTTCATTCTGAAACAATGTAGGATTTATGAAAAACAAGCTGCAGTTATCGTTTCCCATTGTATGTCATAAATATATATTTATAATGTTCCTACAAAGTTATCTTGTATGTTGTTTTGGAAAAAAAACTTCAAATCTGACCTTGTTAGCTTGCTGTTAAAACAGTTTATTAGCTTGCTGTTGAAACAGCAATTTCTCATTTTCTCATTCATCAATGAAGAAAAATACGTACTGAATGCAATTGGAGATCTCCCGCTGATTTCCATAGTTTTGCAACAATTAAAATTCGCTCAACTGCTGAACCTTAAAAGTTTTCATTTTTGTATCATTTGTAAAAAGTTTTTCCAGGGATTATTTCTAAAATGAAAATTAAAATAAAATAAATTTACGTTCATTCATAGAATGCACGTAGATAATCCCATGAAAAACTACTTCCCATTTTAAAGTACTCCACTAATTTGATTAGAATCATACATTTCAACGCTGTTTAACTTTTCTTGTTCATTACAACCTTCAAGAATGACAACTTGATCTTTTCATGTAACTGTCGCCATTGAATAGGGTAATGGAGGCATTTTCAAACATCTGGTTGTCCTTGGATGACATGCTGAAACAGTGTCCAAAACTTTATTATCTAATCTTATTAGATATTTCTCTTGATTGCCGAATGCCGATATAACTTCCAATATGTAGAACTTGTGCTCATCTTTCCATACTCTACCTCCCATAAATCATAAAATTATTCGACTTTTTAGTGGTATGGAATAAAAAATTCAAGCCAAATTCTACGTTGACCTCGATAAGAACAATATGACTAATAGGTGACCAGTAGAATGCGGAAGTAGAAAGAACATCTTTGCCGGTTTGGAATAAAACAATATATACAGTCGTAAATCATACAGGGTTTGATTGGCAAATACAAACATGACTCTTGACAAGCGTGGCAATGTTTTCTATTTTGGAATTTTGTCTTTGTGCAAGCTTAGAAAATCGCAACGCTCGTGGCTGGAGCTATGGGCAGTCGTTTCAATCGACGCACTTCGCTTGTATTCCACTAACGAATCATACTCCAACGGCGCAAAGGAAACTAAACAAATCCCTTTTACCACTGAAACTTTTTGTTACATTGTTGAGAACCGTCCAAGGTTTCAATTTAAACTTAAGAATAACAATGAAACGTTTCTATTCAAATGCAAGTCAAAATCATCAAGACAACAATGGTTGGATTGCTTGGATGAAATTTTTGCTACTTATCGTCGTAACAATTTTTTTCATTGCGAAAAAGATTGTGAAAGAGGAAGGAGCTTAAAAAATTGTGAAAGAGAAAAGAATGGGGAAATGATAGAGCATTTACAATCTACATCTGCTGACAATTTTGTCAACACGAGAAGCTCAGATCGGATTTCATTACAAAATTCCCCCAAAGAAACCAACGACATAGATCAACTCTTGTTGACCAAAAGCAGAACCTTCCACAATGAGTCGCCAGAGGGAAATAAGGTTGTTGTAAGGGGCTTTCAAAGTGTTTCTTCAATGGAACAAGTTAAGGCTGAACAGGAGAAGCCGCCAGAAAACTTCGACTGTGCTTTGGAAACAATTAGTACGACGGATATTACTCAGAAATCGTCATGTACGCTTTTCAAAACCGAAAGCAAAACATTTTCTACATTTGGTAAGAAAAGCAGCCAGAAATGCAACCGTCCACTGAGTCAGTTCGTCAATCCAACTTTTTCATTGGATGAAGAAGATTTCTCGTTATCGTTTGAAGAACTGACCCAAATTCAAACGGAAGTTTCAAAAAGTAAAGGTAGCTAAGTTTTTCATCCCGTTGCTAAGCGTATGGTTTTGTACCGAACGAATTCCAATGCCAATTGTGGTCATCCAAAAACTAAATATTTTCCATTCTCGCTATTTCAAATGCGCGTATTGGTATTTCACTATTTGAAAATGAAAGTAACGTCTTCTATTTCTGACATAATTGGTTTCTATAGGCAACTGAATTCTACCAATCTAGACCTGCCTTTTTTTCTTTTAAGCAGATCAAATTTCAGTGCAAACTAAGATAGTACGTATTACTAAATTACACTGCAGAAACATGTATAATGGACGAATTGCGCGTACATTTTGCAGCGAAAAGTAAAGTTATTGTTAAAAACATTTCATATTTTAAGAGGTATGTGAAAAGTTAATTACATAATAAAAATGAATTGAAACAAAAAGTGAGCTGTTGAAAGGAAAAGTATCATTTACAATAAAAACATTTAAATATTTAACCATTTTCTGATAGAGAACCTAAAATTCAAAAATTACAGGAAACATCGTATGACTGTAAATTTACACAACTTTGTGAGCAGATCGTATACTGCTTTTATTTGGTTTAAATTTACATTTTCTTGGCTGCTGCAATACAATAGAGAAAATTCTAGCAAACGTTTAGTTTTACATTAAATCAAGTACATTCATTTTTATGTTAACCCTTTTGAGACGTACTTTTCAAAAGTTTGTACACATTTCGTTTGGCAATTCGTGCCGCACGGCATGATCCGTCTCAAAAGGGTTAAACTGCAAGTGACTTATAATATCTAATCCTAACTCGTTTCTGCATTGCATTAAATACTTATTAGAAAATCACTTCAATATTCAATGTTTATATATAACTTTTCAAGACGCTCCTCTCGATTATGATGTACCATCTCTGTCGAAAGCAAATCCTGGATGCAACTACCTTAAAGTTCGTACGGACAAAAAGAAGTGGAAAAAATTTTACGCCACGTGTGAAAAAAACATTTTGTTTTTACGTGAGTCAGAAAGCAGTGATCCCAAATCAGACAGTGTTATTCAAATCGAAATGAAGCCGAAAATGAAAATCACACAACTACCTAGACGAGGTCATGATTACCGCTTCAAAATGACTACTGGAACTACAGAGTACTTTTTCAAAACGGCAAGCCCTAGCAATCGAGATTTGTGGATGAAAACACTCACGGAAGCAAGGTATTCCGTTCTTCAAAACGCATCTCCTCGTAATGACGATAAAAAGCAATCGGAGATCTATGACGAAAGCATTGACCTGCCAGAAGATGATGATGTATTCTATGATGGAATGACAACCGATGAAGGAGGATTGGTATCTAAGAACGTTTCTTCCCCAAATATTGCAAGCGCGTCTGTTAGCAGTCCAGAAGAACTTCCGAAATTCGGTAAGCACACAATAGTTGGCTACTGCATGTTTATATATATATATATGGTTTCAACGAAACCCAAGTCACGCGTAAAAAGGCTCCCTATTCCAATCACGAAAGTTTAAGGATCATTTAAAAAATAACAATAGTACAACAAGTGGGCTGATTGGTCTTTAGCTGAGTTTGCATCAGCCTGTTGGAAACCGATCTAAGCTCAATTAAAGAGAATTTGCAAACTATCATCTGAATTCATGTTAGAGCTAAAACTTAAAACATTTTATTTTGAATTTATATATTCAATCGTATTCTTATTATTTTGTAAAATTTTTAACACACAGATGTTTCATTTTTCAATCATTTGGAATATTGAGTAATTAAACATCTGTAAGTTCTCGCATTAAAGAATAATAAATAATTAAGAGCGCAAATCACGACCCGGAGACTCATTCTTTATAACAAGACGGGCTTTAACCCGAAAATTAGAAATGCAATCGCATTTTATGATTTAGATACTATTATAAACGAAACAGAAGGTAGAAAACAATCAAATGGACCAATGGTTATGGGCTACATAAAAACAAACGCCATTGATAATAACTGGGACCAATATTGGGCTGAAGTCGAAGAGAAACAACTAATTCTTCATTCAAGCGAAAATAATAGGGATTATCTCAAAACTATTCTACTCTCACAAAACGCCCGGTGTAAAATGGCAAAACGAAGCTTGCACGATTTTCGATTTACCCTAACAGCAAATGCAACCGAGTTCTACGACTTTAAATGCACGTCTGCGTATGACCGGAGGGAGTGGATTAATGGATTGAATAGAACAACTGGAGATTTTCAAAAAACGTCAAGCATCGGTTCAAGAATACCACAAGTCGTCTCGAAGATAAGGGAGAGCAAGACCAAATTGAAAAAAACTCAACAAGAACAGCAGCAACAAAAACAGCAACGAAATGAAAAGTTGGGCGATGTAGTGCACATCGAAAAAGAAAACAGAGAAATTTTGTCATCTGGAACTGAAACATTGTCCCTTCATCAACAACAAGCTTATAAAGATAGCAATGCTTACGAAATTATGTCGACAGGTGTAAATACAAGTGAAATACAAATTCCTTCTTCACAGAAACAAGAACAGCACAAAAAAACACTTAATCAACAAAAAGAAAAAAAGCGAGAAAATGAAGATAAGGTGAGCATTAACAATGATATGAATTCTCAAGGTTCATTGCTCCTGTCACATCCAAAATATCCTCCTCTAACGCAGGGTGAACAACTTCAAGAGCACGTTCCAGAGCTCATGAATGTTAGTGGTGAGATAAAAGACAACATATATGTACACATGGGACACCAGGAAAGCGATGTTTATGAGTTGATGAATCCTCGTAAATCTAAACAAATTAGTGGCAGTTCTTCCACACAATCATCACTTACCTGCACTACTGATGGTGGTGATGGTGAAGTCAATGACCTCCACAAGGATTTGGAATCATCATGGAATTTTGAAGATCACATTAAAAGTCTAGATTATTCTGCGCATATACCGGTCTTGAAAACTTGTGAAGGAGGAAGTGAAACAGAGTCGAAAGTGAAGAATCATAGATCCTTAGTTCAAATAGGGACAGCGTGAATAAAGTAATTTTAGAACTAGCGCAAGGTAAGCCTTTTCCAAATTCATTGCGTTATATTTTCGCATTCATTATTTAAGCAGCACGCTCCGAATTTCAGAGCGTAACTCACAAACTTCTTTACTATAATGTCCGAAATCGACACATGTGATTGCATCTGCATACCTTTCGCCAACTACTATATCCGAAATCGACATGTGATTGCATCTGCAAACCTTTCGCCAACTACTATATCGGAAATCGACATGTGATTGCATCTGCATACCTTTCGCCAACTACTATATCGGAAATCGACATGTGATTGCATCTGCAAACCTTTCGCAATGATTCACTAATTTCTTAATGTTTTCAAATCTTATTCCAATTAAATGCATATTGAAATCAAGCATTGTGTGCTCAAGACAACATAATACAACATTGTAGTGGATCAATTTTACTCACGTTCACGAGTTGTTTCAGTAATATTTTATCTAGAAATCCCGTAACAAATAGTTCTAACAATTTATTGCTCAAAAAATCTCAACCTAATTAACATCTATGTTCATACCTGTACCTATACATCCCAATTATACATCCCATCACCAGCCGTCGTTTCCGCAACAACCACACGGAATTAAAAATGTCATAACAAACGATTCTTTGCGTTCTTTGCGGTATTTAAGTGAAATTGTTGCAAATTACGAATGGAAGACATTCAGGTTATTATTAGAGGTAAGATTATTATCAAAGGTAAGAAAGACAGTTTATTTACCGTTAAAACCACGCGGATGTTTTTTTGTACGAAAAATATGAAAGTGAGAGACATGGCGAGCGGAAGCCGAATTCTAAAAATTCACACCGAAGCCAAACATTTTACATTTAAAAGATTTGCGAAGCCACTTTGAAAGAAAATATGTAATTATCACAAGGCTAACTTGAGACCAAAACATCACAGTGATTACACATTTTCATCTCGATCGCCAAAATTAATTACACAGTGAAAAGTCTTTGAATGTATACTCGATTAAGTTCAAGCTCCTTATGGAATTTGTCATCAGAATTTACCATAAAAGCTCACAATTATCCTGAATAACGCTAAACGTAATTTGAAGTAAACATATAGTATTCATATATACGTAAAAAAAACTTAGGAATTTTAATATCAAACATAAAACTTTTCAACCCCTATCAACTCTGTAATCAGGAAGTCGTCAAATCAAACGATTAAATGGCAATGTCTTCAGTCGCACAACATACATAGAAAGCATTTCATTGCTACTATTGAAGTGAATAACATTGTTTTATTGCTTTTTCGACTTGCTAACATCAAAGACAATGATGTGAAAGTAGACAACATTGCATCATACCATCTATATTTTCTTGTCGAGGTTAACAACCTTTCGTAGTTGTATCAATATTTTTGCTCTCATCTCTATTTTTCAAGAAGTTCTTGAAGAAAAGCCTTATACCAGAAGAGTACTCAAAATTTGAAATGTTCAGGACCATAAACTAAATTCAACTTCCTGCTCCATCATTTTAATAGTTCTAGAAATATGCAGCTTTTACTTACTCAGCTCTAGAGCAGTGGAAAATACCAGTGGTCTCACAAACCTGTGAATATTTAAGTGAATAAATTGTATGACAATTTTAGATGTGGAGAGATTTCTCACACAAGTTTTGGGAAAGCTTAGCAATCTTCCAGCTGATGTGAACAGAGAAAGATTAGATCTTGTGCAACGCCTTCAAAGGCACTTAAACAAGCCTGGAATTGGTTTTAAGAAGAAACTTCCAGTTCCTATACCACAACAAGCTTCAAATGAGGCAGATGGTGAGGTATGTAAAAAGTGAAATTATTTTATATGGGCAAGCATGGTTGAGAACTTTTTGTATAACTAAGGAAAAACAGTTATTTGTTTGGACTGCTGACTTCTGTAAATGGGTTAAAGAAGATATCATGGAGTCCGGTGATGATTCTGTAAATCAGGGTAGCCAGCCTGATTTAATACAGTTGAATTTCCATTTATTTTATTCCAACTGCATTGGGATTATTTTAGGATGATGTTGGTGAATATGGTGATGTAGCTGCACCTCAAACACCCCAAACCAAAAGTAAGAAATTATTTTCTAAATTATTTCCAACAAAACTATCTTTGCCATTTTTTGGTTTGTCAACATGAACATAACTTTACTTAAGATCAACATGTTTATGGAACCCTATGATCTTATGCGTAATGAGAGATTGGTTTGTCAATAATCCTGCAAAAATAACTGTATATAGATAGCATTAATGAAGCTACATGTTCCAAAACAATAGACATAAGTTCAGAAACTGATATTTTTGAGTTCAAAGCAGGATTCTGGAAAAATGTATGGATATGATTTGCTTGGACATCATTGACTTTCAGTTATGTGAAAGTCATGTTGTTCTTGTACGCACTTTTTGCTTGCTTGAGAGGCATTATTTTTTTACAATACTATTAGCCTTTGATTTATAAATATGACATTAAACAAATTCAATGGATCACATCTTTGTTGTCTCGTGCAGTGCAATTATCCTTGAAGCATGTCAATGTACATCAGCTATTCTAATAATGAATTTCAAAGCTATTTGGTACAATTATGCATTTATATGTCATCACAAGAAGCAGTTTTTATGAAAGTCTATCTGCTGTTGAAATCTAAAATTGAATTTTTATTTTAACTTTAGTAGAGGAAGAGATGTATGATGATGTTGCTACACAAGAAAAAGAATTACAAGGTTAATGAAAAGCAGACTTTACTTATTTTAGAATTTTCATTTCATATTAGTTTTATTTTCACAGCAGTGTACAAAGCTGTATTAATTGTCAAATTTTTGTTTCTGATTTGGTGATTTCTAATTTGATGTTCTGTATTTTTTCAAAAACCATTTGCGTTATTTTTAATAATTTTTTTTTTTAATTGTCAGAGGAAAACTATGATGATGTGGTAGCTATCAAAAAACAAGGTTAGCTTATAATGTCTGAAAATTGTTTTCGTTAAGAATATAAATGGTTTGAACCCGGGAGTATCGTTACATGTTTGTAAATGTAGATCGTCCAGGTTGGTATAGTCCTGAGAAGGACTGTTTTTGTTGTTGTTGACTGACGTTTCGACAACCTTAGCGGTAGTCATCTTCATCTTTTTGACTCTGTAGATGACTACCGCTAAGTTTATCGAAACGTCAGTCAACAACAACAAAAACAGTCCTTCTCAGGACTATACCAACCTGGACGATCTACATTTACAAACATCTAAGAATATAAATGTCGTACAAATGAGCGAAACCATTGATCTATGTGAAAGACAATATCTATCGAAAATGCCAGACTTAAAAAGCAAATTTCTTCATTTTTGACTACACACCACCAGACAAACAATTCGTCAAAGAACCATGGCAAATTTTTTATTCGTAAATATACGTTTCTGATGATTGTTAGTTCTGAACTTTGTGACACTCCACTTGTTTTACTCGCATCCGATTTATTCGTTTAAGAGCAATTCAATCTCAAAAACGCTGCAGCGCAGGGAAAAACTATATTTTTCTTTGAGATCATTTAATGTAATATATCCGAGACAAAGTGCGAAAGTATTTTCTCTTTGTAGAATATAGTGTTTACTTAGCCAATGAAATGTCTCCTTTTGACGATATTGATAAAACGCTTGCTGTGATAGGAGGAAAGTGATTTTGAACGCATTCTCAAAAAACTTTAATTTCGTTGTGAAAACGATGAATGCAATAAAATTTGTGCGATGATTTATATTGCCATTATAAAGTCAATAGCCAACACCAACCGTAGAAATAAAACTGAATTGTTTTTTTTTGGCTGCAGAAGTGCTGGAGAAAGGGAACATTGCGAATTGTTAAAAAGTTAGTGAACTCTCCCAAAATCTAGAACAAAGAGAGAAACTTAATAAGTAGCTAAATGTTTAGAACACCAAACACACGCTAACTTTAGATATTAATCTTTTGGCTATATTTGTAAACAAACATAGGCGCGCGCTGCCTCTTGGTATGGATTTGTATTTCAAAAATTTCTTTTCGCGATGATTGGATGAAATCATTCGCTATAAGATCACCTTGGTCAACAATTGGTTTAAAACTAATATCTTGTCACTGAACACAGTCTCCGGCACTGGAAGTTTTTAACCTTGTTTTATTCTGTGTTTTAGTTGAGGAAAAAGCAGAATCTCAAACATCGGAAGAATTTTACGATGACGTAAATGGTACTCAAAATAAATCACGTGAGTATGAGAGTGTTCATATTTGAAGGTTATTTTCAGCATTTTTTGTCAACTGTGGCCATAAGTCTTTCGCCTTGTGACCATCATACAGTGATTGACCATTAAACCATAGTCTTCATACAGTGACTGAGCATCAAACTATATTAACCATGCAGTGATTGACCGTCAACCATGGTCAATATACAGTGATTGACCAACAAACCATAGTCACCACACAGAGATAGATCATTAAATTATAGTCACCACACTTTGATTAATTACCAAACCTTAGTATCATACTTTTATTTACTATTAGACCTTGGTCACCATAGTTTCATTTACCAAATGACAATCAGAAAGATTTATTTAATTAAGTCATGTTGACGAAAGATATTCTGTAAACTTAAAGTAAAAGTCGACGCTCCCTAGTTGTCCTAATTCGACAGGTCGGTGTGAATTAGTTTCCAGTCCCTGAAACGTTTCTTTTGCTACATAAACCATTGAAATCGTCAAAATCAGCTGTTTTGTTCTGTTATTATTGTAGTGTCAAGTAAATCAAACAATTCCGATTCTTTGGATGCTAAAGAAATTGGCGAGCCTATTAAAGCTAGTGATATCCTTGATAAAATTTTCGAAGGTATGTTACGAGTGCAACCCTTTGAGCTGCTTTTTTAACCAAATGGTTGAGACCCCATCCACACCGATACAGTCTCGTACCGGTTTTATAATGTTCACTTGGTGCCATTTAGATTTTCTTAATTTTCAATTACGCTTAATCTATTTCCGTTTCCAGTTTCTTGGTTTTGAAGTTTTCCCGTTTCCCATGCCAGACACAAGTTTATCTTCACTATGTTCCACTTTTTTACTCCGTTATGTCAACCGACATTTAGTGAACACGATCGAAAACCGATGTTGTTTAGTACCTTTTCAAAACTCTGTTGGTATTGTGTGAGTTTGGTATTTTCTTAATCTCATGAGTTTATTACCAGTGCCAACCAGTAACCATTGAGCTTATGATGTACTTGAAAAGCTGATATTGTGAAAAACTTGTTAGTCTACCAAGCTTTTTTTCAGCAAAAAGAAAGTGTATATATTTTATTTTTGCAATTTGCTTGATGTTTCCGTCCGTAAGAATATATGTAAAATAAAGAAGTATCAAGTTACTCTTCCACAATATTTATCTTTTTCTATTTTCCTTTCAAGATTTTATGTACAGTATATACTTTAGCTAAACGCGGAAAGTGTTTCATATTTTTATAATTTACAATACAGGCGAGCTTGACAAGTACAAAGGCAAAAGACCTTTTAAGAAATGGCAGCGTCGTTACTGCGTATTAACGCCGAAAGCTCTTTATTATTACGAGAATAAAAAAGATCAAAAACAAAAAGGCCAAATCATGCTTCCATGTGGCGAGACCATACTTCGTCCTGGTTGCCACAGTTATTCTGAAGTAAAGGATAAAAAGACATGTTTCGAATTGGTCACTGATGAGAGATGTTATTTGGTACGTTTTATTTTTAAGCTGAAATGAATCACCTTACAAGTTCCATACTTTTAGAATTTGACGTATCATCATTGATCCTAATTGATACTTTGCAATTATTGATCCATATTTAAAGTGGTTTCTACTCTAAACAACCATACGATTACCATTACCACTACCATTACCATTACCACTACCATTACCATTACCATAACCATTACCACTACCACTACCATTACCACTACCATTACCACTACCATTACCATTACCATTATCATTACTATTACAATCACCATCACCACTGTCGTATGACCATGGTTGACTCCAACATAAGAGTGTGTTATGTGCATTTAGTTTAAAGCAATTAAAGAATCCGATTATGATGCATGGACAAACCATCTTACGTCTGTTCTGCATGCAGACCTTTCGGAAGAACAAAGCAAGTTGATGAGGCTGTTTAGTGTTGGACGTCGTGATGATGATGATGATGACGCAGAGGGTGGCGAAGATTTGTACGAGTGCATTGACCAGATGCAGCAGAAGAGATTGGCTAACTCTTCGGAAACTGAAGGTTCGTCCATAGTTTGCTGTTGAATACATAAGGTTTAATTGCATTTGTACCCCGTATATAGCCATAAACAAGAGTAGAGATATGATTATACGTCATTAGTCATCATATATGCCAACGTTTTTTATTTGACATCGATTGTCTCTAGTACGAGATTTTTCTACAAGTTTTATCGCTGTTTTGATCAGTTTTCAATGCCAATATCATACTTCGTAAAATGAGGAAAATATTTAACATTTCTAGTTATTCGGTGCCATATTATTTTATGTTTATGTTTGTGATGCTCGAAAAAATGAACTGCGCTCCGAGCATTTCCATCGAGGATTTTCAGTTTTGCATTTAAAGGCATAACTGCCTTGAAAAAGTTCAAAGGAACATTGAATTTTATATTAATTATGTCCTCTTTCCCTCCTCCAGAAATGTACGAGCTCACAGACCGATTTTCCTCACAAGTCAGCGAAAGCTCGGCATCTTCCGGTGATCCACCGACATTACCTTCCCGCGTACAAGCACCTTTGGAGAAACAGACTCGCGAAGAAGAAGAATTCGAGGAGATTGACGATAAAGAAACTCGTCAAACTTCTGACGCATTTCACAGCTCCTGAAGTCCCTCATCGTGCACCATCAAAGACGGCGAAACCACATGCAGAGCTTCCTCCTCCTCCTCCTCCTCCAAAGAAACCCTCCAATCTTTCAACGCAAAGCTCTGTCTCTACTCGACCGCCAGCATTGCCAAAGAAGCCAGAAACAAAAGTGGCAAAGGCTGAAGAACCAGCGTCAAAACCTCCTGTAATGAAACCTCCGGTAATGAAACCTCCGGTAATGAAACTTCCGGTAATGAAACCTCCGGTAATGAAGCCTCCTGCAATCAAAAAGCCTCTTTTAAAGGGTGAAATATTTGAATACAGTCGAGTAAGTATTGTGCAGCGTGCAACTTGAACGTAATTATTACTAATAAGACCTTGCATGGCGTCTTTACATGTAGTATTAATATTAACAAACAATCTCGAATTTTGTGCTTGAAAGAATAAAAGTCCCCACAAAGTATTCCCCGAAATACAAGAATATTTAATTCACCTAGTGATGGCAACAACAGTGAGTGAATTTATTATAAGTCTGATGTCATATCTTGAAGTATTGTTACTTAAAACTAAATATTACAGTTGTACTCGTTTATTTTCCCGGAAAATACTGTTATTATAAATAAATTATTTGATTATATTTCATACGCTAGGTATATGTTGCAATGTGGAACTGCATTGCGGACGATGAAGATGATTTGGCATTTTCCCGCGGAAACTATCTTTACATCCGGGAAAAGATACCGAACAGTGATTGGTGGGTTGCCTCCCTTATGGATATTCCGGATATTCGCGTTGGACTGGTTCCCAGGAACTACATAATGCCCGCGTATGACATGTAAAAGTTGGTTATGGGTTAAATATCATAACTATTTTTTTTGAGAAAATCAGTTGACACATCATCTCTTACAAAAAATAAACGTGTCCAATCTTGGCGATAATTTATTACTTTAAGAAAAACAAGATTTAAAAACAACCAAGATTTCAAGTTTTTAATAAATGCCTTGTTATATTAAGCACATCACTGCAGAACGTGGCACGTTGCAAGTTGTGATAGTTGACGTAAGCAGTTTCGATAATGTTTGAGTAGAGTGGATGTAAACTATTTTTTCTCCCACTCGAGGTCACAATTCCCGAGCTGTTTTATTTGTTATGATATTATTATGAAACATACACAGCACCTATATGAAAAATTCAGTTTTAAACTGTAATAGCAATTTATTTCGAAATAAGTGAATAAAGCAGATGATACAGTGTTGTATTCTTTGCTTTGTTTAAATTTAACGAAGTTCGAAATGATCTTGTTACGTTTTCCAATAATATCTTAAATTGGGAAAAAGGATAATTTTGTAAATTTTCAAATTAATTCCGGTACAACAATTCCTCAATTTACGAAGCAAAAATTAAAAAGTAGTTAAAAAGTATATTTGTTGTTGCTCTTTGGGAAAATGTAATTTCAGCATTACCTATAAGCAACACGGAAAAGAAATATTTCAATTCATAGCATCCTATATTTAGATCATGTGTCATTTGCTTATCATTCAATGTGCATATTGTCCCATATGTAACTAATTCCTGCTAAAGTTTTATCACATCACAAGTTTTATCATATTGTAATCTGAAAGCGGATAGCCAAAAGACAATCTGCCAGTCTACGTTTTCGCCACGTAGAGATCGCCGACACGCCTGACATACTAACGAGCATTTTCTAATCAGAACGATAGCATTGCCAAAACTTTTGAGAGGCAGTGCATGAAATGACGAACTTCTTAAAGTTGAAATTTCAATGTTCAGTAGGCGCGTCCTTCGAAGTTTTAGCTGCATTTTTCATCTTGATATTAGTTTTTGGGTGCAACATCGCCGCGTTCTGCAGGTGGAAACAACTGTTTTGAACCTACTATAAAATTGACTGCATATGTGCGAAAAATTATTTCATATATTGTCAAATATTAATTGGTTTTAAATTTGCGACATCATTTGCTTTTCTTCCCAAAGTGAACAAGAAGGCGAAACATATTTCTCGCTTAATCCACATGAGTCATTTTGTGAAAATTCCTGATGGAAAAATGAACTTTATCATTATTATTACTTTATGCATATCGATAAAATCTCAAATTAAATCGACAACAAAAAAAATGCGTGTGAAATTAAATATTCATACCCAATCAAAAACATTCGAGCATTGTTATTTACTGGATTTTGCAATTATCATAACATCTTTTTCACACGTAGCAAGGACGCTAATTCGTGTAGTCATGGCAACATGTTGAACATACAGCTGACACATCACAGACATGATAGGATGTCAAAAATACATATGGAAATCGCAGATACACATTGATAGTTGTTTGTTTCGACGCACTTGAACTCGGGGAATGCAATTATGGATTGGGTAGATCAACGTTGCCGTTGGCACTCCTGTGGTGCACGTTTGTGAAATTTTTGCCGCGGAGGCAGAACAAACATAATTCTTGTTAGTGGCGTGTGAGTGGTGTGTATAGGAATTGGCTGTCTGTAAAAGAGTACTTGCGGGAAAAACAAACAAACTTAATAGGAATCGATCGGGACAGGAAGACATGTTTTTGATGGGAGTTACGTACATCAACGCCATCGTATTTTGAAATTATGAAGAATTCCGAAAGATTGCAACACGAAATCGATTTGACCCTTGCAGGTTAGGCACTCCACTCATTATTAAACTTATATGCAAGTAAATTATACAGTTAAGTTCAAAAAATAATCAAGAAAACAATTATACGCTTACAATTGTGATGTTTGTTGAATTTTTAACCTGTTCTTTCAATTGTGCTTCGTCTTTCTATGACATATGTCCTTTTGTTAAAGAAAACTGCTTCCTATGTATTTCACAATCTACATCGCGATGGCGTGTGATAAATTCGTTTTTGAACTAAGTGATGCCTAAACTTGCAAATAAAGGTGCAATATTAAAGGAATATTTGGCGGAATTACAGCAAGTGTGTTTTGTATCATTTGGATGTATATTTCATGTATGGTCTGCCTTACGATGAAAATTTATGATATTTTGATAATACCATTAGAGTCATGTTTGTGTATAGCTTTGAGGTATGCCGCTTTATATTTATGCCAAAGGATTCCGTATGTAGTAAACTAAGAACGCCTTCTCGTGCTGTCTCCTCGTTTCATGTCAACGTAGGTATTTCTAAAGTTGACGTTTGCCCGGCACTAAAGTGAAAGAATTAATTGAAACATTAAATAAAAGCTTTAAAATCAAATATCATGTGCTTATGCGCACACGTACAGCGCATAACAATGTTTGTTTACATTTATTTCTGCTTGATACTTGGGAGCAACATGACATTTGTCACGTTTGACTTTTTTCGAAATGTATTGCACTCTCTCTCGCCAATTGGAAAACCTGAATAACACCTAGTGCTAACGACTTGGGTGCCCGTGTTTTTGGACTTGCATTTAAACTCATTGCATTTGATAATGGACGGGCGCTGTGTGACACGTAGCAATCGCGTTTATGCACTCGTTTATACATACATGAATGACGATAACAGAGAAGTTGACATTCCTCTAAAAGATTCTCAGCATTTCTTAATCCATAATGAACTAGATCCATCATGAAACTAATGAATTGACAAAAGCCGTGTGGACTGTGGTTCTCACCCAACAAAGGAAACATTACTATTGAATTTTCCGCTTTTAGAATTGAAGCTTCTGTGCCTTGAATCAAAACATCTGCTCAATGCAATGTTCTCGCAGCCTTTTGTAAAGTGTGTGTAAGGGGGGGGAGGGAGAAGACATAATGGCACTCTGCATTTAACAATCTAGCATTCGGAGACGATAAATTTTACAACGCAATAAATTGCTTATCCTTTGAAAAAGTGAGTGGGGCATACTCCCCATCATCTCTCCGGCTCCACGGTCCCCCCTGCAATATGGTTCCGAAATTTAAAAGGTTGTCCTGTTGGAGGTTTTGTTTCTTTAGGAATTTTTTTTGAAAAAGTCGTTTTGTCGCTTTAAACACCACCTCATATTTTCCAAACATGCACGTAATTTTAAAACATCTTTCTTGAGAACCTCCGAATCCGAACACCGTACAAAGTTTTTAGGCTGGTCCAGGATTTAGCGTTTTGGAGGCACAAGTATTGCATAATTTTGAAGGAACACACCCTTACAATCAACATTATTCTGTAAGCCATTGACTTGAACATATTTCGTATATTATATTACTGTATCCACACAGTGGTGTAGTGAGCGCGGCAAGTTTGGTCGTACGTCGTGCTATGTAAATATTTAGGTGTTCCTTACTGAAAAAGATCAGATTTCTAAAGAAATGAATAGCGCTAATAATATGAAATTCACATATCACAACGAAACTTTGTTATTATTATTTGTAAATCCTTTATAAAGGATAAAACCTCCAAGTTTTTAGAGCAGTGTTAAAAGTTAAAGAACTCACCCTGTTTGTCCTGTTTTTCCTGTTGCAGGCTGGCTACGCCATTGACAGTAATTAAAAGTTTATGTTTTCTTAACTTTTGAAAGCGTCAATTTTATTTCAGAAGTGGAGGGCTTTCTTCACGACCTTTCAGGCGTAGAACTTCCTGTTGAAAAAAAAATCAAACGACAAAAACTAGAATCGAAAGTTAAATTACTTCGTGCAAGGTATCATCTGCACATGAATAGATTGCCGTTGTCATCGTTGAGACTGGGTTTTGATTCATTTCCGAAAGATCTCGAAGCAAAGCGACCTCGCTCGTTGACATCACCCGATTTGCTGACTTCTTGTCTCCCGGATGTACCAGAAGAAGACGAATTGGGTTCGCCGAAATCCACGATGAAGAGTGGGAAATTTGATTTAAACTCCCCAAACAATCATCGACCACGTTCATCTACGTTTCCTTTGACTTTGTAACATTTACCTGATGGTCTTTGTGTGGTGCTTTTTTAATCTGCCACCTGGGAAAGAAAGGCACCATAAATTGCAATCTATTTTATAGGTTTTGTTTGTTTCTCCATAGAGAGACCTGTTTTGACTTCGTGTGAATACAAAATTTGTATAAAATGTCGATTAAATTAAATTCGCTATAACGGTCAACATAATCCACGATGGGCAAACAGCAGTAGAAGAATAGCAAAGCAAAAACAAACAAACATACAAAAAAAAAACTCCATGCCATTTTTTTCAACACTTTAGTCAAGCACAGTACATTATTTTGAGAATAAGAGTATTTCAAAGAGTATTACAAAGAGTATTTTTGTCAGAAAGAGGCTTTCAAAATGGATTAGTAAATTTTCCGAATTGAAATGCAGTGACCATGAAGGTTTTTTTTACATTTGTTGCATATGACAGTTACCAAAGCAAGGACCATGCGCATAACCATTGAGAACAGACGCTAATGGTGAGGCCCGTTCCACTTACGAAAATTTTGCTTGGAAAGAAAAATTTTCGGGACATCTGTTTTTCCAGCAATCATTTCCATTTTTCATTCATGCCAGTGTGGATATAGATATTGCGGCCTTAAATAAACGTATATTACTTCTTTTACTGATAAGAAACTGCTACTACACAAGGTTGGACACACAAAATAAATACAAGAAAACATGTTGTAAGACGAATATATGTTGAAACAACGACTAACGGCGAATTTGTCACTTTAATTCGGGAAATAAGAATTGTAGATCACGAATACTTTTTAAACAATTCATATTACTTTATGCTAATTTTTTCTAACAGATGTGCCCTGATTGCTGACTGCTAATTTTCCATCGGACTAATTACAAAAAGTTGAAAAATTTCTACTTAAATAAACCAGAGGCGGATCTAGTGTTAGTCAAAATAAATTACTGCAGCACATTTTGCCGTATATTTACATTTTTAAGCCCCTCAGAGGCATCTCAATTGGTGAAATTATATTCTTTAGAAATTCAAAACAAAAAGTGTTTTTCAGAAAGTACTTTGAATTTAAAATTATTGACTATCAACCTTTCTCTTGAGATTTATCAAACAATGTTGCTCGCCCACGTCGGCTGGTGCCAACAATAGCACTGATAAAATATTCTTTTGTATCATACCACCAACAGGCATGATTTGCTGAATTGCAGGTCAAGAATTAAGGAGCTTTAATTTATTTTGACTAACTCTGGATCCGCTACAGGAATAAACATTCAATTTCTTTCCTTTGGAAAAATTTTATCGCACTCTTCCATTACTTAAGACACGTGCAACCTGGAAAATTCTGCTTTCCGCGGAAAATTTTCTTTGGTGGAAACGGGCCTGTACAGGCAAACCAGACAACGCAAACCCATCCAAGAGAAATATACCAGAAGGAGACGCGCGTGACTGGCTATGCATATAATTATGTATGCAAAATAATTATTATACAAAGGGTATAAGTTCAATAAGATTAAGGTCAAATAATATTAAGGATAATTTACAACAGAAAATGCCTAGGTTTGCCTGTTGATGTATTTCTTACGTACATAGCACGTTTTCTACTGAAATTATGGCCAGCTTAAATGCCCACAACGAAAGTACGCAGTTAAACAACAACCCGACCAACTATGAATCGTTTAAAGAACCGGACAGTGGTAGGTTTTCACTTTGATTTACATACACTTTGACTTGTCGTTTGATGCACGAGTCCTTGTTCGGTAAAGGCTTATAATTTGTGAAGACTATTTCATTGGCGAATGGACTACAAATTAGACCTTCTTATGTAACCAGCTAAGCCAAATATTTGTTTGTTATATGTTTGTTTTACGTTTTGCGACCAAAAGGAAATGCACGAGAGACACTTGTACTTTCTTCATACAGACATGGAGGCCTGTTTCAAACGTCGAACTTTACGTGAGCCGAATGCATTAAATAACACGAGATAGAACTCCTATTATCTTTTGTTTCAAATGCATTCGGCTCATGTAAAGTTCGACGTTTGAAACGGGATTAAGTGCGCCTATTGTTTCCTAGCTACGTAAATTTTCTTTCGTCCATCCTTTTTCAACTATTCATGACCTTAATGTATTGGTATTGACTATCACGCTGTGCTGATAAAAAGCACGTGAAATTTAATCGCTATTCTTTCAACTGGTAAATAGAATGGACTTGAAAGTGAATGCACAAGAGGCTCATTCCCGGGAACTGTAGAGTTTTAATCTAATCAGGGGGGTACATTTAAGCACACTTCTTGGAGGATTGCTCGAAATTACACTTATAGCCGAGATTTATGAACTAGTTAATTTGCGCTGTACATGTCTTTTCGCTAAGCCATCTTTAGAAGTATATACATCTTTCTGTGATTTGGAAAGGTGTTTACCATCTAGTACATAAATCACATGCGCACTATACGCATAATTGAAAAATCGACGAACTGTTTCACTTCGTTTCATTGCACACACTTCAATAGCTGGTGTTTTTATAAGCATGTTTAGCAGATAGAGTATGGGAAATACCGCACAGAAAAGTCCTGTTGATCGCCGCGACGTAAAGTACTCGCCTATTAACTTTGAAAAAGGTAGTATTTAAGTGTGGCTGCTTTGTTATCTTTAAAATACATTAGTGTAATTACTGGTATATGTGCGATGATTGCAATTCACGGAACACTGGTTATAATGTGTTTAGAAACTTCCAAGACCAGTTTCACCATCTAGTTTTCGATTGTCATTGTGTTCGTTTACCTACGGATATTATTACTCTATTGTTCATACATAGAAGTGTAATGTCTAAAATCTGGCTGTGTGTGATTAGCATCATCAACACAGGCATCAAGCTTCTTTCATAATTATTCATAGATTAAACAATGCATATTGCGTCTGCGCTTGTATAGATACATTAAGGAAGTATAGAGTATCAAAATGACCAACTCCCACATATGACCATATCGTTGAACTGAGGTTTTTCGATGGCCAGGTTCGTCTAAATGTAGTACAGATGATCTATGATTTAATATTTTACGTCTTTGCCATTCGTCTGTGAATCCGATTAAAGCTCTTTCGAAATGGAAATGGATAACTCGAAAAAGAAAGGTACTTGTGACCTACATTTAGCGATTGTTGTTGGCTGATTTAGCGTGCATTGAATAAACATATTTACATGATTGTATTTACTTGAAGCTCAAATCGATGTTTTTGTGTATTTGTAAGTACAATTAAAAAGCTTTCGATAGAAGTTAGTGAGTGAAGAATTCCAAAGCATCACTGACATCATGCGTATATATGATATTCCAGTAAACGCTGCATACAATATAGCTTGTACACGTTCACTTCTCGTCAAATTAAACGTGCATTTTGAAAATTTTTGTCATTTTTGGATGTATGTAAAATGTATATATGTATAGAACGCTTGAAACAGCCTGTATTGTTTAACTTTTTGTGTAAGCTTTACACTTGCAATTGTTCACTCGTGAGTTGTTGACACACGACGTTCAACCCTTGATCCACGGCATTCAATCCCCCCAACCCAGGACATTCAACCCGGTAAATACCTAAAGACTATTACCTCATCCCTGTAATGTTGGTGCATTTCTCATTAAGCCTTATAATTTTTTGATTGATTTGTAATTTTGGTTTAAACATACGAAGTGAGAGCGTTAACCCTGCCCTTGCGATAATTTACGACTAACATACGCAATGTTGAATTGATTTATTTTTCAACTAAATTATACAAGCGAGACAATGTAAACCTCACTGGAGTGCATTCTTTTGCCAATCATATTTATATCTTTAATTTGACTCACAACCAAAAACTATTGTGGGCATTGTGCTGTAAAAGTAATCGAAATCTTCCACATGTCAACTTGCTCGAAGGTTAATGGTAGTACTAATTTTTGCAGGGCAGTATTTCAAATCACTGTTTTTGTTCCAAGCCATTTTGAAAGAAAATAAACTTCGTGCGTTTTAAATATATTAGCCGCATGCTACGAAGTTGATTGTGTTCATTTTATATTTATCGTCATCTCCTCATAACACATGACATCAAGTTTCAATGACGATTTTCGCTTCAAATTAAACAGGCCTTGCAGATGTCATTACTAATTATAAGTCTTCCCATTTTCAGTACTCAGAAAATTCTAGTCATCACTTCGGATCATTCTAAGGGGCCGATTACATGGACCGAGTTGTCCCGGTTAGCCGAGGTGAGACAATTTTACCGATACCGCGGCCTCTTTTATAATTACTATTAAAAACAGCACTGTGATTACATGGGAAACGAGTCAACTCGCTTTGCTGGGATATCGGCTGTTGAAAGCCGGGACAACTCGGTTATCCGGGATGAAAATTGTCTCGTTCGCTCATGTAATCACTTTTTCCCGAGTTGCCCCGGGTAAGCGAGTTGAAAGCTATTGTGTGAAGCATGCGCACTTAGTTTAAATTTGCAAAATGGCGGAAAGCTCTATAAACGATAATGCAAAGAAAAGTAAAAAATCTAGAAAATCTGCCACGATCGACATAGATAATCGCTTTCAATGGACGTTAGAAATGGTTAAGGATTTACTGGAAGGGTTGCTTGAGTACAAATCTCAAATGGAGTATAGAAACTCAGACTTCAATGCAGACAAAGTTAAACAATATGAAGCAGTTAGAATTATTTTGGCCAACAAATATCGTGACGGTTCATTGTTTGGGCCGACAGAGATTCCTGCATATACTGAAGAAGACAATAAGGAGGATTATACAAGGTCATGTGAAAAATTCAAAGCCCAAATTCGACGAGGATATACTCGAGTTCAAGAAAAAATAAAACATCTGCGACAGAAATTCAGTAATGCTGTTACCTCAGGTACAAGATCAGGCTCAGGAAAAATGGTTATGGAGTTTTATGATGTTATGGTCAAAATATGGGGAGGATCACCTGCAACAGAACCATTGCAATTTGGTGTACAATCAGCAGAAAAAGAAGATGAGGAAGGCTTGGAAATTAATGACTTTAATACAACTTTGTCTGATGAAATTGAAGAATCTTGTCGCATATCTGATAGTTCTCATCATGAATCCATAGCAGAATGCGAGAATACTTTTAGTGAGAAAGAAAAGCATGAAGCAATAGGAAGCAAGCGGAAAATGAATGTGGTACCCACATTGATTGATAACAAACGTAGGCACATGGAACGTCAGTTATCAGCTTCCCAACGCGACAAAATCTTGATGCAAGAATCAAAAGATGAACAACAATTTCGTAAAGAGATATCAAATTCCTTGAAAGAATCCAATTTATTATTTGCAGAGTCTTTGAAGGCAATTAGTGCTTCAATGACTGCTCTTGCTTCTTCAATTCAAAAATCATGTGAATCGTCACAGCACATCAGGCCACCATACCCATCAGATCGAATGCAGTCCACAAATCTTATGCCACAGTTTCACCAAGGTATTAATACCTCTAATTACATATTTCCACCTGATATGTCTGGCCAGTCTTTCTATATTCCCCATGTAGAAAGCAATGGAGAACCCTTGCAACCACATCAACATCAATATTGACTTTTAACATTTTATTTGTTAAAAACATCATGCTTGTTTTATTTTTTATGTTGAATTCTTACTGAGTAATTCTTTATGTTACATTGTTCTTGTTAGAGTGGAACAAATGTTCTTTGTTTATGAAATAAACATGTATTTGAAGAAAAAAACTGTTGTTTTGAGAATATTAAAAAGACTAGTAAAGCAAATGTGCATTAACATATTGTTTTAGTGTGTCTCTGACTAGTTCTCCTTCCCTGGTGGTACTTGAGTACACTGGATCTGGGCTGTTTTTGTGGGCTATTTCTTCATCTCTGTTCCTAGCTATTTGATTTTGGACAATCTCCTCATCCATGTCTCTATTATGCATCTCACAAAAATTATGGAGAACAAAACAAGCTAAAATAACTTTTGGTACTGCATCCAGTTTAAGGTTCATTTTTCTTGTCAAAATTGACCATCTAGCTTTTAGGCGGCCAAATGCACATTCTACTGGGTTTCTTGCGGCTCTTAGCATGTTGTTAAAAACTACCTCATCATTGCTTAAGCATGATTGGTATTCTTTAATGCAGTTGGGTGTTAAAGGATATGCTGGGTCACCTATGAGGTAGTTAGGTATCTTGTCATGACCAGGTAAAACATGAGTGAAGGTTTGTGGTAATCTTCCCAATTTTAGTTCATTATTTATGAATGAGTTTGAAAATACTTTCGCATCATGGACGCTGCCAGGCCACCTGCAGTCAACATCCATGAATAAGCCATTTGAATCACAAACAGCTTGAACATTAATGGAGAAAAACTGTTTATAATTGAAGTAATCTTGAGAATCAACCAACGGTCTTTGAATGGGAATGTGAGTACCATCAATGCAGCCAAATGCCTGAGTCATGCCAAACCTTGTTTCAAACTCAGCCACTTTTTTCCTCATTTCCACTACCGTTTGTGGAAGGTGCAGATATATTGGACAAAGATGTATACAAATTGCATTGCAAACAGCTAAAACGATTTTAGAAACTGTACATTGATGAACACCAAAGGCATTTGCCGTCATCCAAATAGAACCAGTGTCTTTTAGGTAATATAAAGTGATAGCGAGTTTTTTTTCACGAGAGAGTGACCTGTAATTTGGAGTGTTTATTCCTTCAGAAATGTAAGGTCGCAACTCCTCGCACAATTGAAAAAATCCCTCTTTCGACATTCTAAAGTTTCGCTTCCACTCATCATCTGGGGTAACTCCATCAAGCATATTCTTCCACCATAAGTCAGTTCTTCCTTTTTTGGTCCATATAGCTCGCTTTTTCCGACTAAGTTTCCTAGCTCTTATGTATCGTGCTTTTTTCTCAGCTACTGATTTTTTTGTGGCATAGTAACTATAAAAAACTCTGTGAACGTATTGCTTGTGTGCTGCCCGTAAGTAAATGAAACAATAAAATTGAAAAAGTAGACAGTAAACAAGAATGGAGTGATGCGAAAAATTCATTGTTTACAAAATGTTCGCCATATTTTCCCGCAAGAAATTCAAAGTCTCTCCCGGAGCCAGGAGCCCGAGTACCCTAGAGAACTAACCCTGCCGGGACAACTCGGTCCATGTAATCGCTTGAAAAAAGCTAACCCGGATTCCCGAGACAACTCACCTTAACGGGACAACTCGGTCCATGTAATCGGCCCCTAAAGATTCTATTATGGCAATTAGCATACCAAAACATCATGTTTCACAACAACATAAAGGTCATAAGACACTTATATATGTAGTTGACCGCAAATTTTGCAGTCGAATAATATCAAAGAATTCAATGTTTAAAAATTTCTTATTCTGAAAGACTTGCTATCGAGGTGTTCGACAACTTTATTTAAATGTGTTGATTTTTCTCAAAATATATTGATTTGAGAAATGGAACTGCAGTCAAACGAAGCCGCGGTTGGCGTGAAAAGTTGGTATACATATTCACTTTCTTTAGGGGTCACCCGAAATGTTTATTGTGGGTCATAAATCATTCTAAAGCCAATATACGTTCGAGCGCTTGTTGTATTTATATTCTATATTCAGAATCACATTTTGAATTGTGGCATATGTCACAAATTTTTGCTTTAAGGAATACCTAAATGCCTCAAATGAAATAATCGTTGAGTTGAGCCCTCTGCACTATCTCTGTTTATGCAAAATCAGGACCTAAGAGTGGCATAAACAGCGTTGCAACATTCCCTGATAAGCTGAATGTTGCCATGTCAGCGAATGTCTGTGTATAAGCTTATCATCACATCCTTTTACTACAAAACAAAAAATGTTCTGAATTGCAATGTATAAAACGTGCGAAGGTTTTGTTTGTGATACATAATGATTCAAGTTTGTCAAATGTAAATCAAAATGAGATCGACAAATCGCAAAATCTTTGATATGAAGTTGTGGGAATGTTGTCAATGTGCATTTTTGCATATTTTACATTTCGCAACTGTAAAATGCAATTGCATGTAAGCGAATTGTAGATATTTATTACCTAAGAATTCGCACATCCCGTTGAATGTGTTAGAATAATTGACGTGTCAAAGGATTTGAATGTTTCTTTTGACCTAGTTAAGCAAATAGCATCGTATTTGAGTAGGAATGAATGTTTTGAAAGGCGGGGCGTCGCGCATCGTTAATGTTCTCGCACTTACTATATATTGAGAAATATGTCTACAGGGTTGCCAAACCCTATTTTGAACATTGAATCTAGTTGTGACGTTCAGAACTCTTCTTTCTCAGACGAAGGCGCTATATTGTTGGATAATCAGGTCAGCTCCCCTGAAGCAGGAGAAGAAAATATGGCATCGCCTTCTGTGAACAACGAGGTATCGAAGAACAAAATGCGAGATGGACACAGTATGGTCGATATGATTATGGTATACGAGATTCCAGACCCATCCACTCTGAATGATGAGGATGAAATAAAAGAAGAAGATAAGAAAAACAAAATCCGCGAATTCTACATCGACGGTTTGAAGGCTAAAGGTCTTCTCATTGAGATTGACCAATTAAAAATAAAGAAAAACGCTGAGGTTTGCTGCCAATTCAATATTGAAATCTCTTTAATTGCATGAATGATTTTGCTCGATGTTTTGATATCAAAATTCAAAACAATATTTATGTCTAGCTTAATCCTTCTATTTATTAAAATTTAAACGAATATTCAGCTAGAGAGACTTTTAAAACAATCTTTAAAAGTTGGTTGTTAGTCATATTCCAGTTTGTTGTACTTATTAGTTCTAATTAACGTTAGTAGTGTAAATAAGGTCTTAAACAACAACTTTGTCCTTTTCTCTGTTTAAAGGGAAAATTAAATACAATAAGTTATTAAATGTTTAAACGTGTCTTCATGGTTAAAACTTATGTCATGACGCCTACATGACGTCTTGCACCAGCCCAAACCATTGCTTTGGTGTATCAGAAAAACAGAAAAAACGCTTCAAAGCAGAAAGCTATGAATTAAATTGTAAATAGCTACTGAAACTTAGTCCTTTTAAATTTACCAATTTTTAAAATTACTAAATTACAAAAGATACTAAATTACATAAATTACTAAATGACAAATATAAAAAATTAAATAATTAGCTACAAAATTACAAATTGTTATTTGAACTTTCTGTTCTTTTGTATTTTATAAAGATGCTCAGTGTTTAATGTAAAATTGTAAAAGGCACCTGACTATTTCAATGAAATTAAATTAAATTTTCATATGTTTGAAGAAAGTACAATCAACTCCAGACCCAGTGCCTAGCAAGCCCACATGTTTTTCCGTGCTATGTAAATTTTAGATCATTGCCATTATTTATTTGAATTATTTTCTTTAGATTTTTCTAGAAATCTAAAGTATTTATATTAAAAGTATTCATGTAAAAGTATTTTTATTATCTAAGCTTATGATCAGAAAATTTTTCCCGTTTGCAGGACACAAACGACAAGAAGCCAACGACGTGTTTTGTCAAGATTCATGCACCTTGGGAAGTACTGACAAAAATGGCCGAAGAGATGTTTCTGCGCATGCCCTTGCAAAAATCGGACATAAAAATTCCATCGACACTTGAAACCGTGTTTGGCGAGCAGTTGGTGGCAAAATTCAACAATGCAAATCCTTTAGAATACGAAAGACGTATTACACCAGACGACGTTATGTATTTCACGGCGTACTTTACAAAGGAGCATGAGGCCGAGTTTGTGGGCATTGATAACCATGATACATTCTTTACTCCCACCGACCGTGTACGCATGGTCGAAAGAATCATGGGACAGACGCCATTCGAGGACTCGGAGGATTTGAACAAGGTTGTTGGTATTGCTAATTTGAAGTTCACCAACGCGTTCAAGGGAATTTATCCATTGCACGACGGACCGTGTGAGGTTAGTGTTGTATTCATTCTTTACAGTCTTTATTGCTTCAATTTTTTCAAATGCCTAAACGAGGTTCAGGGAAATAACTTCTTTAAATAGATAACTTGATTTTAAGAATATTTGCAATAGACTTGGTGGATTAAAATTTATTTTCATGGGCTTTTTGGGCCTAGAAGTAGTTGACTCTGCACCGGAAGTGACGCACAAAGGACAACTCATGCATTGATTATGTAGCTTTTATCATACAGAAAAACACTGTTATAGTAAATCTTATTCAAAATATGCACTAAAATTTAAGACTCTGCATGGGTGATGAGATAGTTTTCTTTGATGAGATAGATGAGATAGTTTGAACAAATAATGAGCGAAAATTTTTAACAACTAAAACTTCGTTTTCTCTTTGGCACGCATCTCCTTGCCGCTTCACCCATAGGGCAAAAATACCAGAAATGAAACAAGTTGTGAACAAGCTGTTATGGTGTTATATTTCTCCTATTAAAATTTGTGAAAAGAAATTGTTGCTTGTAGACCGTGTGCACATTTTCTCTAGAGTTTAAATAATTCGAAAAGTTTTTTCATGGGCCATTTCTCATTATCCCAACAATTATTTTGCTTTTGAAAGAAAATTAGCAAACTGTTCACTTTTCATTGATTTCGACGATGCTTATACATGTTGTCCAAAGTTCCAATTTCTTTTAAAGTGCCCCTTTTGGCAAAAATTTGCAATAGCGATAGTAAATTTAGGTGTGATTTTCAACATATCAGTGAAAAAAGTTTTTAAGTTTGTCAGATCTTTCTATTTTTATCGCTATTTAAAGTTAGAAAAAATGCTCCTTTTGATGGACCTTGTCCGTCGTTCGAAAAGTTTGGAACGACTTACCTTTGTGACGTCATGCAGGATATATATACTGACTACCTTGGATGACGTCAGAAGTTGGCTAGACCAGACTTTATCCCACGATGGACAAGGTCCATTGAAAGGCAACTTTAACCCTCCACAACAAAAAGCAATACAATTTGACTGAATTGAAAACTTTTTTACCGAAACGTTAAATATTACACCAAGTTTTTATTTTGCTAACAGAAGTTTTTGCTGATAGAGGCACTTGGCTTTATTTTAGGTCCCAGAGGGTGGTGAGCCAGAAAATCAACGCCAGCGATTGCGATGGGAGTGGGCGCGCTTTAGAAAATGGTACAAGTATCAGCCGCTTGACTCGATTAAAGATTACCTTGGAACATCTATTGCACTGTACTTTGCCTGGCTTGGTTTCTATTGCACAATGTTAGCACCTGTTGCCTTCCTTGGCTTCATAGCGTTCCTTTACGGAGTTGGCGACTCTTACAGCTTCCCTCCTGTGAAGGATGTTTGTGACAGTAACCAGACCGCTTACGTAATGTGTCCACTTTGCGATAAACAATGTTGGTACTGGTATCTAAAAGATTCCTGTACGTACATGCGCGTGGCTCATTTCTTCGACAACAACTTCACCATTGCCTTTGCCTGTATTATGTCTATATGGTCAACGCTCTTCCTAGAGCTTTGGAAACGTCTACAGGCGACCCTTTCTTATAAATGGCATACGTCTGATTTTGAAGAGGTGGAGGAACAAGTCAGACCAGAGTATGCGGCGGTCGTTACAACACTTCGTGAAAACCCGGTCACTAATCGTATGGAGCCGTACACACCGAGGACGACCATCTTCAGGAAGTACGCAGGTGTTATCAGCATCGTTACTTTCATGATTACTCTAGTTATATCTGTTGTGATCGGTGTTGTTCTATATCGAACGGCTGTTTATGCGGCTGCTGCAAAGAGTGGTGATGCGAGTGTTCGCAAGAACGCCAAAGTCCTCACGTCCATGTCGGCGGCTGTCCTTAATCTCATCTTCATTAATATCCTCAAGTTTGTGTATCAGTACGTTGCATATTGGCTTACAAACTGGCAGAATCCGCGTACTCAGACGGACTGGGAGGACAGCTACACGGTGAAAATGTACATCTACCAATTTGTGAACATGTACTCTTCCCTGTTCTACATTGCTTTTTTCAAGATCAACCTGTTTGTGGGTACTCCCGGACATTACCTCCGACCTTTTGGGGTGAAGGACTGGCGACTAGACACGTGCGGACCACAAGGATGCTTGGTAGAGTTGTGCATACAATTGGTTATAATTATGGTGGGGCAGCAAATCATCAGCAACGTTACTGAAGTAATGATACCGTAAGTGTTTCATTAAAGACATTGAAGCCATTTATACACACATAACACGTACACACCAAGCTACATTTATGACTTGAACTGAGAACGAAGTAAACAGTTTGAAACAATGCCGGTCAAAGACAACAATACTCTATGTTTCCAGTAGTTTCATTCAATAAAACAACAGTTCCCTGCTGTTCCACATTTTCAGGTGATTTGCTATTGATAACTGTAAAATTTATTTCTCACAATTGTGTTTTACTGACGGCCTACATTGACATCAATCTACAATTTACTTCGCTTATATTATATAAATCGTGTTAAATTAAAACCCTTTGCTTTATTTTAGCTATTTGACGAAGTTGTGGAATGAACGTAACACGCAGAAAGAAAGCCTAACACATTTACCACAATGGGAACAAGATTATTTTCTTCCTGCTTCGGAAGGAACGTTGTTCTGGGAGTACTTGGAAGTTGGTAGGTATCAAAAGATCTCGCTTACATTGCTACTGTGTTACAACCGTGAAAATTTTTCTTTTGTCGTTCAAAGGTTTTGTCCAATGTATTATTTGATATTGTCATGTTTTGATTTTCTTAAATTTCTCCAATATCCCCACTAGATATTTTATACTGTATTGACTTTCATCATAAAAAAACAGGCTAAATCCAAATATTCGCTCAACCAAGGCAAATATGCATTGAGCATTTTCATTATATATATTATCATGGACTTAACTAACTTGAAGACTCTCTTCTGCAAATTTGAAAGCAGCCATTTAACCAGTTCATATCTTCCCACTCCCGGCAATTGGGACAGTCAGGTATAATACGGGACTTTACTTCAATGCATAAATAGGGGAATTACTTCCAGGTAAAATTTGGCTTTGTTTAAGTACATGCAGGCATTACCAGAAGATATCCTTTCGGTTATAAATTCAGTTCAGTGTACAATCCTAATTTGACACCATCTTCTCTTTTCCTTTGTAGTCTTACAGCTCGGTTTTGTTATGATGTTTGTTGCTGCATTCCCATTGGCTCCGTTTTTTGCATTCATAAATGGCATTCTGGAAATCCGTGTTGACGCCGTCAATTTCATTCGCGACCAGCAACGACCATTTCCGAAGATGGCTGAGGATATTGGCGCCTGGTACCCGATCCTCGAAGCCCTTTCTGCATTCTCTGTTCTCGTAAATGCATTTGTAATAGCGTTTACCTCCGACTTCATCCCAAAGATGGTATATAAATACAGTTACAGCCCTGACGAATCACTCGACGGCTATTTGAACAACAGTCTGTCATATTACGACACCACCTTGTGGAACAATGAGTCGAGACCTGATGAGAAGTATAAAGTTGAAGGTGTCAAACGTCCGCTTTACTGTAGGTCAGTATTCTCATTATTGTAAGACCAAAGCACTCTTCAAAAATTGTGCTCGTGTTTTTATGCGTTTTGTCGGCTGAATGAAAGCACATTGGCATTTTTTAGCCTTTTGTATCCTAGCGTTGCAGTATGGCAATATTAAAGTAACCAATTCGAAACTTGAACGACCAAAAAACTTGAAAAGTAACATGTTTATGTGAAAATGATGTCTAATGTTCTAAACAGTCTATTTACAGAACTTTTCTACATGTCAACTTTTTCTGTTACACCACGTATATTTTATATAACAAACGAACTTTTCCTCTATCTTTGATAATGCCGTCATGAGATGTTGAAACATGATTTCAAAAAGTTTGCGTTCCTTAAATGCGTGCGTCTCTAGGCAGTTCAGCAGTTATTCAAGCAGAATTGCTTCTTCTCAGTTCTCACAACACCTTGGTAAACAATGATTTAGAACCCAACCCTCTAGTCGTCTAACTACTCTGTCAAGGTGAGGCAAGGACACCGTTTTCAAAGGAAGCAAAAAGCAAAACACAAAATAAAAAACAAGTTGAAAGAAAGTTTAAAAAACAAGTTCTATCGAACATTTTAAAAAACAAACCTAGACTATGGATTTTGAAACTTTATATAAACTCTGAAAAAGCAGATATTAGTCGTAAATATCGTCAGTTTTGCAACCTTTCAAGATGGCGGCTTGACCACTGATATGTATATTACACTAGATAACGCATCCATGTATAAAATATAGTAAGATAATTGAAGCCGGAAGTTGACTCATCTGATTATGACCTTCGTGTGGGGTATCGGTCCCACTTTACTATACTTTTGTAACACAAAATCACAGTTTTTGCGTTTTTATTCGTTCTACAAACTTTTGATTCAAAAATTTTGTGAAAGGGACAGAACAACCGGCAAAGATATTTAATCCTAAAAAGTTTGTCTTCTTGGCTTTATAATGGCAGAAAATTGAGGTGGCACAAGGCATCTCAATTTTCTGCCATTATAAAGCCAAGAAGACAAACTTTTTTGTCTTGCATTGTTTTGAAACAAACTGGAGATTATATGATGCTCTGCTTCTTAAAAAATGTAGAAATATTACAGAATCCTACTACTGCTATCAAAATTTCATCTGCAATGACGTTTATGGAAGATTGCTACAAATTTACTTATTTAACAACACTTTGTTATTCACATCGCTAATATCATAATAATTTCAAATCACGTCTTTATTATATCAGTGAAGAAACAAAACAAATCAACATTGAAAAATAATCTGAAAGACATTTGGATGAACAATAGTAATTTGAAAACGGTATCATCAAACTCTACGAGATGTACATCATCAAAATATGCGAAGTAAATGTTGTCATTAAGCGAAGCAAAGTTTTCAACCAGTTCCTATGTGAACAACTTCAATATCGATGAATATGTTGAACATATGAATACCTTTGTTCTTACTTTGTTGTAAATTTGTAGTTTAAGTATTCATCTTCTAAAAATTCCTCGTACGGCTGAAATTGTTCTCGTCACCTTCAACTTTCAAATTTCAATAAAACTTGCCATCTTATTTTTCAGTCGTTACAAAGCCAAGAAAACAGAGCTTCAGGGTTAAAACTTTCTACCGGTTTTCCTCGACATGTCATAAAAATTTTGCCTTAATCAGAAGTTTGTAAAAGGAATAAAAACGCGAAAACTGTGATTTTGTAATACAAAAGTATAATAAAGTGGGACGGATACCCCCTAAGAAGCCAGTCGCAAATGATCGATCTCCCGGCTTCAATTTTCGCTAGAGATGCGTTATCCAGTCTGATATACATATCAGTGGGCTTGACTCATTCGTAACTATAGAATTTTGGCGAAGTCAAAATATATCTAGTACACAAGGTTCTAGTTCATATTTGGGTTATGAATTGCTTTAACGAGTTCCCCTTGCCTGAGAGACACAGATTTGATTTTGGCTTTCATACAGTTGGAATACGCAAATTCTGTTGATCTTTTATTGCTAATAATTAATTGGTATCTATTTTAAACATTGCAGATACACTGGTTACAGAACTTTTGGCAACGCGGACCACTACACAGCACAACATTGGGAAGTAATGGCCGGTCGCTTCGTTTTCATATTTGTCTTTCAGTTCACGATGTCGGTGTTCAAACGTCTTCTTGCATACGCCATTCCCGACATGCCTAGCAACCTTCTCCTCAAGAAGAAACGCGAGGAGCATATTGCTGAAGAAAAACTCGACCAACCCAAGGATAGACGAGGCAAAAAGGGTGCACGAGAAAAAACATACATTTAAACATTTAATTTGATGCATGGTACTTGGATGTAATGACATTTATTCATTGAAAACTGTATTGTTAAGCGCATTCAATCTACATAGACTTGTAGCAGGAATAGCATGAGACTATTAGAAGTTGCATACTCATATTGCCGTAGACATTTCTAGTATTCTGATCTTGCACTGGAATATATAGCACATTCATTCATATAAGAAAACTGAAAAAATCCAATCTACAAAGACTTGTATTAAGAATATACGTAGAGATTCACTTAAATACTAAAAGCGGTTGCACCGGCAAGAGGCAATATTTTCAAGAATATTTTTTTTACAACTAAAAAATATATTAGTCATTTTCTGAAGTCCCCAAAAAACGCAAAAAATTAATTTTCAACTATCCCCGGTGCTTCTGCCAAACTCATATCTTTTGTACATTTTTCACATTTGTACTTGAGGAGCAATTTGAATATAAGGATATTTACACAAAAAAAGATAACTGCACATTCTTGAATGTATTTAATTTAGATATTTCTGTAGTTTAAGAATAGCTTTAAGAAATAAAACCCCCCAATTCGCGTGTTAATTTACATTTGCAGATATATTTTCCAAAGTAAGGTCAACGTTCTATAAAAACAAGCGTAAGTATAAATAAACAAGTATGGCATGTTTTGATAATCTTTTGCTTATGCTTACGTCGTAAGTGAAAATCAAAGTGAGGATCGACTTTAATTCAAATTTCAGACTAAATAGCATTCCGAGTCTTGAATACAAAGGGCTCAGTGGGAAATAATCTAAATATATAATCCTAAACAATTTCTACAAAAATGCATAATTTGGTAATGAGATCTAGGTAAAAAATTGCCTTTCACTCGAAGAAAAGGAAAAACCGAAAACTAAAACCTTACGCAGATATCTTTGCAAAGGATGAAATAGGACCGCACAAGACGAAACGTTGATTTTTAAAGCTTCGAAACAGAAGTTATGAGGGTCAACGTTCAGGGTGGAACAGAGCCGGGTAGGCTCCATCACCTTCAATAATTTTGTAGCCATTTTTGAATTCTTGAAATTAGTTCTAGACTCCCGACCAGCACTACCCACCATCTATGCACCTAGGGGTGCATAGAGGCTGAATGATTCTTAGCCTTTGGTGTTTTTATTTTATGATTGACTTTATAGAAATCTAGTGTCATGAAATCACATTCTTTTTCTGAATTTTGCTTGTTGATATTCAACCAGAGGAATCTGTTTCATGTACCGCAAATATTAAGCGAGTAAGAATTTTATTGTTTTTTAAATCTCATTCGCCCCATCACAGATATATCTTTATTATATAACTTCGGTGCATCCCCAGGAAAAATGTAGTCCGTGGTGCCTTATCAGGGACTGGAACTAGATAATAAAGATGGCGTTGTTAAGCAAGACTTCGCCTGAATTTCGAAATTTTTTCATTTACAACTCGACCTTTGGACCAAAAGAAGGCATGGTATGAGTAATATATGGTTTATCAATTTCTTTTATGTTTATGAATCATGATTGCTTCCTTTAAACATGAAAATATATCGTTCAAATGTCTCTTTCACTATAATACATTTGATATTAATTGACTGTATATTGCGTAAATTACTTGATACCTAACACTATTACTCTGCAGTTTCATCTCAAAATAAGACAGTTATACAAAAATATTTACTTAGGAAAAAGAGAAGATTCTTCTTTACCTTCCTCCAGAGGAGGATATTGAAAAGCAGATTCGCAATGTTGGACTATGCGAAGCCATTGTGAAATTTACACAGTATGTAATTGTTTATTTGTTTTCGTGTGTGATACTTCATTTAACAGTAAACTGTGGGGATTACCATGACCAAAATTAGATTATTCTTGACAACTTGGAGTTACCACTGGTTTTTGTTAAAAACTTGTACTTTTGATTGTGAAATTAAATGAATTTCATTATGAATTCATGATTTGGTAGATGAGTTAAGAACTTTGCTCTGTTTTGAACTTTGAAACTATAAATAACAGTTTGGACAATCTAAGCTTGTCAGAACCAATGTAGTAAAAAAATTTGGCCACACTTCCTCATACTTTAGCCTCCCTTAGGCATGCAGGACAAAGGGCAGGAGGGCAGCTGCCTTCTAAGAGTATTTGAAAATTGAAGAGTTGGGCAAATTTCAAATGTTAGGCAAAAATCTGGGGGAACTCTTTGTGAGTTATATTTTCTGCACCCCTCTCAGAATTGATAGCTCTCGTATGCCTATGCCCCCTTCTTATATTGTCAATAGATAGCAAAGGTAGCAAAATAAACAAAAGGTCTTCACAATCTATTCATCTCCCACTCTCAATTAATAATGAAGTCACTGGGGAAGTCAATCTTACAATGAAATCCTTGCAAAATACAAATGCAAATTGTGCTTTATTCATTGCTAGAAGTGCTTGCTTGTTTGAAATTTACAAATGCAAAAATCAAAATATTCACTAATTGCTTTTTGTCAAAAATTCAGAAAAAATTACAGTAATCAAGAGTTTTTCTTTTTTCTACCCTTTTACCCATACTATGTTGGGTATTTTATTAAATGGAAGTTTGTATTAAAGCATGTGTTGAGAGAAAATTTTTCCACTCCCATCCAAATTTTCATCTTCCATTTAACACTCCCCATTGAAAGGTAGCAAAATAGATTAAACCCAATGGTGGACAATGCACAATACAACCTAAAAAACCTTCAAATTTAGCAAGTCATTTACATTGTATGTTGAAAACCAATCTAATAACCATATAGTCACTAAGCACTGTACAAAGGCGAGATTTTTGTAGACATCTTGGGTGGGGTCATAAATTTGTGGGTGGGTAGGTGCATGCAGGCTGAATGATTCTTAGCCTTTAGTGTTTTTTTTATGATTGACTTTATAGAAATCTAGTGTCATGAAATCACATTCTTTTTCTAAATTTTGCTTGTTGATATTCAACCAGAGGAATGTATTTCATGTACCGCAAAAATCATTAAGCGAGTAAGAATTTTATTGTTTTTTATATCTCATTTGCCCCATCACAGATCTTTATTTCAGTAGTAAATTATAATTTAGATTTGGATTTTGTTGCATGTTGTTGGGCCTTGGATCAAATTTATTTTCAATTCAAAGGAAGCGCATTGATTTTCAAGGGAAATGCAAAAACCTTTAGGGGGTTTTCAAAGCAATTTTATAACTTGTACATGTACTTGCACCTCCCCTCAAAATATGGTTTAGTGTCATATAAATAAAACGGTTGAAAGAGGGTTTTCACAACATGTTTTTTAAATGTTGTTCAAAACTTTTGTGTTGTCTATTTTGTTCATATTTTAATGCAATATGAAATTTGGTAGGCAGTTTACTCCTGACAAGCCTTGTGAATCACTTCATACACAGAAAACGAGACAGGTTTTCTATGAACCAGAAACAGATTTCTGGATGATCATGGTGAGAATGTTGATATTGTTTTAATCTAACATCATAATTAAGGTATTGTTATAATGTTAATGAAACTTAGAAAACTGTATGATAAATTCAACATATATTTAGGTGTATAGTTAAAATTTGGTCAAAGTGAGAATTAGGGATAGGGTTTACCGAAAGTGATTAGTTTGCAAGTGAAATATGGATCTTTAATGACAAAAAGCAGTCTCTGCTCTTTATGCAAGAAAAATATTTTCTATTTCCTTTATAAAGAATAAACAATATCAAATAAATAAATTTACCGAGTTCAATGAGACATAGTTTATATTTTTAAATAGCTTTTACATTTCCCGTGCAAACCGGAAACTGCGAGACGTACTTTCTGTAGACGTTATGGAAACACAAGTTTTCGAACGTTCAGCCAATCAGTGTCCGTGTTTTTGAAATGCTAATTTATAGAAACACGGGATGTTCAGTCTCGCTAAAGTCTCTTAGGTTGCGTGTTTGCGGGGAAATGTTGAAAACAAAAATATAAACATGTCATTAAAATCAATAATTTATCTTCTTAAGACTGTGTCTAAAAAGCTATTTATAAAGGAAATAAAAATATATTTACTTGTTTCAATTGAGTTGCAGAAACACTTGTGAAAGTTTGGTAGAAACTCAAAATTGCTTGGAAACACTAGTACTTCGTGCTTGTGCTTGCCAGTTCTGTTGCTACGCAATTCCTTTATTTCTGATTTCTGTCAAACTTTTCTACTATAGTAAATGGTTTGAACCCGGTTTTGAATTCCTTTATAGTATACTATACCAACCTGGACAATCTACATTTACAAACATGTAACGATACTCCCGGGTTCAAACCATTTACTTTAAACTTTTCTACTTTAGTGTATTACTGTAGAGAAGCACGGAAAATGTCTTTATCTTAAAATAGACCATTAAAAGATAGAATTCTCAGCAGAACATCGGTTCTGGGTTATTAAACGATAGCACACTTACTAATGCATCACTTGTTAATTAAAGCTAGCAGCCTAGCACGCCATTAATGCATCATTTAAAAGTGTTTAATTCAATCTTTTGGGGTGATATAATAATATTCATTTATGTTATGTAAAATTATTTGCTGTGTAGTTTTCGTTGCTGCTGTAGTTAATCAAATGTTAGAAGCTAGCACGCCACTCAGTTTCAATCATAGACTTTTATCTATCATCATTGTATTGTTTACTGCCAACAGACAGTGACGATACCATTTAGCGAAAAGATGGCGGATAGTAATCAAGCGGAAAGACATTATCATCACGAAGATGTTCACGTAAGTGATATCATGTTTTACAATCTTTTTCCAACCGACAATTTCTAAAAATAAATGCGAGAACACATTCCAAAAAACACCATCTTGTAAACTTCACCCTGCAAAACATCCCATAAATTTTACAACCAGTTGCTTTGTCTAATCAAGATTTTATTGCTACAATTTTTTCGATGAAATTATATGAGAGCGTTCTGTGTTAATTCTTTTTTAGGACAACGTTCTTATTGCCGTATTAAAACAAACATATCAAATGTTTAAGGTATTTAATGCGGTCAGTGATGCGGTGTTTTGTGATGGTGCAGTGATAGCTATTTGGGAATTTCAGATTCGACTACGAGTATGACTTCTGCTACGTGATTTGACCGTGAGGCATCTGGGTTTGATAAACAAGTTGTACTCGTAGTGAAGAGAATTTAATATGATGAGCGACGAGTACGAGAGTGGTACGAGTGCGAGAGTGGTACGAGTACAGCTAACACGACTTTAATCTTTTTTTGTTGTTATTATGTACTGTGCTAGATCTATTTTTGAAGCATTAATTACTGAAGAATATCTAAGTTTCCTTTCTGCATTGGCATTACAATCACAATAAGCAACTGAACAAATGAACGGCGAAGCTTGTCATATTCTTTGTGAGTTTGTGGGAAAAAAGCTTTAGAGGAAGACATGAAATCGCCGGATTAATGGGGCTGAATAATTTATTTCATAATTAATGAAATATTTTGTTTGTTCGTCATTTTGTTTTGTTTTTTGCCAGACTCTGTACGTTCAATAAATTTTATTTCATAAAACGAGTGGTATTGTTTTTCTTTGACAAAAAAACAATGGCACGAAGAACAGAATGAGCGGCAATACAAAAAACAATGATTAGCAAAAAGAGACCAATCGTTTCTCTCATAAATGCATAAACAAAAACAATTGTGCAATATTACTTTACAGTTTTCAAACTGAAAAGCAATCAAAAAGATAATGTATAGAAAAATAGTGGATGTTATTTGAAGTATGGATGTTTTAGAAAATATAGATGTTATAGAAACTATGGATGTTATATGGATGTTATAGGAAATATGGATGTATGGAAATATAAAGTATGGTTGTATGGAAAATTTGAATGTTATGGAAAATATAGATGTTATGGAAAGTATCAACAGTATAGAAAATTTAGATGTTTTAGAAAACATGGATGTTATCGAAAATACGTATCTTTTAGAAAATTTAGTTATTGTAGATCAAATATGGATGTTAGAAAATATGAATTTTATAGCAAATTTACATTTAGAAAATATGGATGTTGCATGTAGAAAATTTAGATGTAGAAAGTATGGATTTTGTTAAAAAGTGTAGATGTTGGAGAAATTATCAATGTTTTAGATAATTTTGGTAAAAAATGTTGAAAGAATAAGAAATGTCTGACCATTGATAGTTCACAACAATTTATTGTAAATGAGACCGGAGCTTGCACTCATTACATTTATTTCCATTAACTTTAGTTGTTTAATGGCTCTTTTCGGGACATTAATGCTTTTTGTGATCTAAATGAGCTACGAAGACGATTGGGATACTTCTTTGCTAGGGTGAGTAAACATTTTCTGTAGGTGTGATTGTATATGGGGGATAGTAGGAGGGTGTTAAAAGAACAACATTATCCTGTGAAGTGAGTGACAATATGAAAACAGGAATTGGGTGGTGTAAAATATGTTAGCTGATATATGTGGATAAAGTACATTAATTCGTGATTTTTATTAAGTTTAATTTCTTTATGGTTGTAATTAGAAAGAAAGAATATGTCGGCTTTTGATTTCTTAATTCAACAGTTTTGTAGGTGATAACATCACCCAAAAGGATGTATGTGTTTATTAATTAACAACAGGAATATTTATTTTGTATTTAGTTCGTCTTTACCTTTTCTTTTTACTTTTAGTATTTAGGAACGATTGACTTCTCGAAAGTGGATATATTGAGCGTTTTTTCAGGTAGCAGCATTTCAAAATTGTAATGTTTAATTTCCTTTAATCAAGTGACTCCTAAGTTAGGGAAATTTTGTGTGAATTAAAAATCCAATTTTGTTTATCTTTTAAGGAATACAATTCCTACCGCTGGACAAAACAACGTTTCTAAAAATCAGCTGTTTCATGAATTTGATTGAACATAAATTTAGGTTGATACAAAGTGAAAAATTCTTAAAAATTCTTTAGAAAACCTCTTGTGGTTATTCATTTAAACGTTCTATGTATTATTTTAGTTCCATAAAGTACACGGTGTTCATGTACGACGATCAAATTGTTTGGTAAGCTTTACTGGTTTTTAATGTGCGATATATATATATATATATTTGTGTTTTTAACAAACTTGTTATAGGTGCTTCAGTTACAATAATACAGCCGGTGATGTTGGTGCATTACTCAAAGGTTAGGTGTGTGCTGGAGTGATGGAGGTGTTTCAGGCATAGATATATCACAATAGTGTAGCTTGTAATGTTGGTGAGTTAGTCATATCTGTGGAGATGGGAGTGTGTTTGCCACAGTTATTGGTGTTTTAGTTCTTCAGTAACTATGGTCAGTGTTGAGAAGGGATGTGTGAATGACAAAGGGGTATAGTTCATTCATCGCAAAGGGCTAGGCATGCTTTTGGTTGAATACATTTAGATTATCAGCTGATTCAATTATTTAATAGGTTTCAGTCTCATAAAACATATTCATTTATTACTTTGCTTCTGTTAAATTGATGAATTTTCCCAAATCCCTCGGATCCGCTGTAAAACGCCAAGGGGAAGTATTCCCAACGGCCAACACCCAATGTGTCATATTTGTTTTTTTAGGAGTGGTCTTGAGCAAGAAGATATGAGAGTGCTGTATAGATATCTAACGACAAGTTTGATTCCTGTCGCGAATGAAGAGGTACAAAAGTGATAACTTTAATAAATTCATAAAAAACATAAACTCTGTTAATATCTTTACTGTTAATATCACTCATTTATGGCTATTCTTTCTATTTCTTTTCGCTGTTATTTGTGTTATTTGAGTACAGTTTCCTCTCGATTACCAGAATCCTTTACGTAGCAACCAGAGCATTTTGAGCTAAATCACCAACAATAGGAATCCTAATCACAAAACTGCTAGAACCTCATACGTTTGTTTCAACTTAGAAGTTTGGTGACAAAATATTTATGATAAGTTTTGACAACAATAAAATTCCTCGTTTAGTTGTGAAAGCTTCCTAAAATTTTGTAGTGGGCTGCGTATGAGAAACAAATGATCGCGCGTGGAGAAAACACGTCCTCGCGAAATCATCGTGGAAGGTATATTATACACGCATTTGTGTACAACTGAGCGTTTTATAGTCAGAACAGAAGAATGCTTCTGCAAATGAAGAGAGTGATACGTCACGTTAATCCTTCCAATGATGTATTACAGGTTTGTCACGTGTCCACCAGACTTGATGGAGGATGTTCGAGGGCCTCCGCGTAAGTTACCGCGGATATTTATTGAGGAAGAAGATGGCTTGAAAGAGTTCTTCTTGGTGGTTTATCAGGTTGGTTCTTCTTACCTCAACCCTCCCCCTTCCCATCGTCAAACGACTGCAGTTTTTGAACTAAACATAATAAACCTCCCTCCTCCCCCCCTCACCGTAAGACAGTTGTTATGTGTTCTGTGAGTAAACTATTTTTGCAAATAAATATAGTCTTCGATTGTTGTGGCTCGTTGACTACTATTCCCTGTGAGTAATTTTTTATCCCTAACAAGTAGCGCTGTTTTTACTCTATGATTTTATTTTAACATTAGGCTGTAGATGCTGTTGTTAGTATGTTAGTTGCAGGTAAGACGAACTTCAAACGCAGAATTTCCTTTACGCGTGAACTTATGTATTGTCTTCCCCATTGTCAATGTTGAATCGTTTTCGACAAGCTTTTTAATTATTAGAATTGTGTAGATTTAAATATTATGTTGTGTAAATATGCAAATTTGAAACTCATTATCTCCGAAAGCTAAACAACATTGGTCAATTTCAGTGTTTTTAAAAAATGTGTGAAATAGTTATTTATAATCAGTGTGCATCACGAAGCAACGAATTGTTTTTGTTTTACTGCATGCTTTAAGAAAACGATAGACATTTTGTAGCGAACAATAAACAAAAGCAAGCATGTTCATTAATTCGAATTTGGCTTTACTTGTTTTTAGTAAATGAACCGCCCGATAAAGAAATTTGTAAACAGCTGAGTGGTTTTGTTGGACACAGATTGACAAATTTGGCAAATGTTATTAGCGAGCATGTCAAAACAAAGAAAGCCAATTTAACGTAAGTTATTTTTTTCTTCTTGTTTTTACTTTATAAATTTGTGTTTAGTTTATTTTATGGTGATATGTTAGGATACATAAAAGTACTACTAAAAAATTGATTAAAACGAAAAAACTTTTTCATCTTGCCAAACATGTAAACATATATTTTTGATTAAGTTTTTGCACCTTTCGAATATTTATTAAAATGGAAACACCTTGTCATTTTTCCAAGCATGTAAACATATTGTTCTATCTTGTTTTTAAATCATTTACTGAATATTTATTAATGAAAAACCTTTTTATTTGTCAAAACATGTAAACTTGTATTTATAACGTTAAGATTAAAAAAGTAAAAATCTTAATGACTGACATGGCGAAAAAAATCTTGATAACTTTATTCAAAATTTGAATTGAATGAGTTAGCCAATTTGTCTATAGATTTAGACTCGACGACAAAGTCATCATATTCAAACATACTAAAATAAAACTTAGAATCATTAATTTCAGAAGCTGTGGCTTATGAAAATTTCAGATATTATGTCTGTTATGGCAATACTTTATTTTGCGAACTAACCAATAGGTTATCACCCAAAACTGCAAAGAAAAGTTTTCCATTGATAAGAATTACCTGTCAAAATATCAACGACGTAATAATCACACTCAATTCCGAGTTTCAAATATAAGTCTTACCTGACCAATCACGAGTTAGGATTTTCTTACCTGACCAATCACGAGTTAGGATTTTCTTACCTGACCAATCACGAGTTAGGATTTTCTTATCTTGCCGTCGTTTTAAAAAAGGAGACGGTATCAGTGTTTTTATGGCATTACGAAGAATTAATTGTGATTCATTTCAATGATAAAAATTGTCTTTCTTGTGCTGTCTATTTTTTCTCTGCTTATTTCGTATTTATCTATCATCAAGAAGACATTGTTTGTATTTCAAAGAAAATCATTTTTCTATTATTAATTTTCTTTTATATTAAATTTTCAAAGCAACCGAAGTACTTGAGATTCTACTTGCATCATCGTAAACTTCATCATTTGCTCTGTTGGAAGTTAATCAATTCGTGCATTATTTATGCAACCTTCGATTGCTACATGAGAATCTCTCCACGATTGTGTATTTTAGAGATTGATTAAGTAAACAAAGTCGAGCTGGCAACGTTTTTCTGCATTTTTCATCAACTTTTCAGGCATCACATTATCATTGCGTCAACATATATTTTTACGACGGACCGATCATTTTTTTATTTCTTTCCGATGCCTCCGCTTATGGAGTTGAACGTGTCAATATTCCAAGTGAAGTAGAAAGCCTTGATATTTAGGTTGGACCGTAGTGATATATGCTATAATCTGAAAAAAAACAATTGATTTCGTACAAACTTGATAAGACAGAACCTATATGAGTTTCCCTAGTTATGTAGTATGTTAGGCTATTCATTATGCCCCCACTCATAAATGGTCAAGCTGGCTACGATTCGGCCATGCATGAAATTTCATCGTTTTTCACCCAGAAAACTGTCTTTTACGTTCTTTTCCTAGCTTCTATTTGTGAAATAGTATGTAACTGAAAGTGTAAGTGCTTACGTGTGTATGACTTGTGAAGTATGTCCCTCAAACTGTCTCTTAAAGTTAACTATGCTTGCGTATACGAAGCAGCGATGTTCGTTGTCTGTCTTTGGGTAATTTGAGTTGTTTTAGTTCAGTTATTTGGCATTTGTTGGTGTTTGATTTGTGCTCTTGATACGATGACATAGTAAATTAAAATGATCGAATAAAGCGGAAATTTTGCACATTTTTCTAACTGTGAAAGTCGAGAGTTGGTTGTATCTATTTTTAGGTGTGGAATGGGTGTTAGAATGATTGGTACCAGTTGATTCTCATCCCCACCCCTCCTCTCTCGCTCATTCTGTCCTTTCATTTGGATAAGCTTCCTAGTTTTTTTTTGATTCCCACTAAAATCACTAGTTTTTTATCCCTCCTATTTTAGTGTGGAACAGGAATACCGTTATGTTTACTTCAATCACATGAACCTAGCTCAGAAGACAACAATCCACAACAAAAAACAGAATTCGACGTTTGTCCCCCCTGAAATCATCAAAATAATTTGTAACATAAATGCGGACTTTGCAAGGTAAAATCTTCAAATTTGACAGTTATGAAATATTTTAAGGAAGGAGCTTTAGTGTGAAAAGTGCGGCAATCTTTGTGTCTATATGTTTTGCTCTTAATATATGAGAGAAAATAAATGTACGAAACAAATTTATTTTCGCTGAATGAAAATACAAGTCCATTGGCAGTGATTTTTTTGAAACATTGCTCTATCCTTGGATCTATAGTCCTTTTTTTTTACATTTCATTTTAGCTACTGTTTTTTTTTCTCTTTTCCATTTTTTGTACGAATATTAATTATCACGTGCGATTATTCTATTTACGATATATCGCATGCGCCTTTGTACAATTTACTGTAATTCGTAAAAACAATGATTTAAAAAACCTGCTTGTTTTCACAAGGGCAAACGATGATGGTGAAGTGTATATGAAAACTCTCACGGATTGTTGGGTTGTTGGTCGAAAGTCGGATCAACGAGAACTCTACGTCATAATTAATCAAAAAAATGCCAATTTGATTGATGTTAATGGTAAATATTTGAGTGCCCGTTTTTGATACTTATTACTCGATTAGCCTCCGTTTTGTAAAGAAAATCGTGTATTACGCCATTAGAAAACGAGAGGAATATACATGTAAAGTTACTTGGGATGTTTAGTATACACATTAAAAGGTTCAACTTATAAGATTAGGATTATTTTCAGCAGTGATAACGATTATTGGGCACTTTTTCTTTCGTCAAATGGACACTTAAACCGTGGTCAACAAAACGACCACCCATATTTATAAAATGGTTATTTAGAAGCTATTGAACTAGTTACAGATGATGGTGTTATTACTTTATTTAAAGTTAACAAATGCTCTCCTCATGAGTCTAAATCATTGAACTAAAATACATTGAACGCTACCTGAAGCAAATAGTTGAAGCCGATTCTTGCATCAGACACGCGTGTGTAGTGTTTCGATATTCTCTTGCGGAGTAATAATTGATTGAGCGCACACGCGTGTCTGAGGTAAAATCTCGCGTGTCTGGGGTAAAATCACAGCTTCAAAAAAATTTATTAGGGTTTTGTATTACTGATAGCGTTCCATGTATTTTAGTTCAATGGCCTAAATTGAATCAGAGTTTATGGAGAAATGTATAGAATGTGTTCATGCTTGTTTCAAATTTCAATTCAAAAGGCAGAGTTTCTTTGAATAATATGAATCCTTCACATTTATAGCTACAATTCCTGCGTTTTGGCATTATTCTAATTGTTTTGATCTGCACTTGTTCATACATGCTTAACATAATTTGAATAGGCAATGTTTTTAAGAATTAAATTTATGAAATTAAATGGGCTGGAATGTTAAAAACTTCACTCTCCTTTCAGAAATGGATCTGGGGTGTTCAGAGTGAATTTCAAATGCCAAGTTTTTACTTCTTCTTAAAACATCATATTCTCTTTTAATGTAGAGGAAGTGAAGAGAATGACTGCGATGCACTTCAATCAAATATTCTTTCTGGATTGAACAAAATTTCTTTATCTTCAAAGGTGGGATTAGACCTACAGTACTTATAAATATATTGTATATGAGACATAGATTTTTATTCGTGTCTTTAAAATAAAATACTGTTCCATTCTACCTGATGTTTGATGGCTTAAGTCGACTTACTGTTCTGTCATAGGCCTGTCTTAAAGGGCCGTGAGAATGTACCTCAACCCCAAAATAGTTTTTGGCTTTATTTAAGAAATAAAAGATGTTTACTGTTTTGGCACAGGGTTATGCAAACCGAGGAGACTTGGGAGAACTAATCAACCAGTTTGTAATTGATAAAATACTTGAACTTTGACTTAAAGAATGATATTTCACGGTAATGCTTTGCGCGTTTGTGTTTACTTCTGTTAATAAAATTCCGCTATCGGATGCAGAGTTTCATAAATAATTATATTTCAAAAAAATTTTTGAGAGTTAGAAAGAGGAGAACGATTCAAACTATTACATATCACCAGTTTGACAACCTGATCTTGAAGAAAAGGCTGTAGTGCAAACTGGTACAAACCAACTCGACCCATGTGCAAGCCTTTATACATCGATCGACAAACGATCTCCAGGATTGTTTTCTGGCTAATCAAATACGAATACATCTTTATTTAAATTAATCCTTGTTACTTCTTTTTTATTTAATGGCCGAATGCGCTTTGCCGTCAATTTACCAGACTTAAAAATCGAAGTAGACATATCGCTGCCTTAACAACCTAATTTGCTGCCATTTTACGGTGCCCCAAACGTGGCTGCCTGTGCATGACTAAGCGCGCAAAGCATTATCGTCAGACTCGTTCTTTAAATCATAATTGGGGTAGAAAGAGGAGTGTGTTGGATTCGAAAAACCACTATCTAAATCATTTTTCTGTGAATTCCCCCTCGTATGCCAACTACATTATATTATGCCTGAGATTCGGGAGAAATATTGTGATAGTTTCTCTTGTATTTTCAACTTTTCTTTTATCGACTTTTTTGACGACCTTTGAACTTTTTTGGTTAGGACATCAGCAATGTTATCGCGCTTAATTCAGTTGAAACTCCAGTGTTTTGTGTACTTCACATTTGTCTTCATCTTGAGTATTAAGACGTTGAAATTTTTATTTACTTTAGTGTGATGCATTCATCACAAGAAATCTTTCCTCAAGTCTAGTGTCTTCATTCTGATGTTAAAACTTGAGTCTTTTTCCCCTATTGTCTGGTGTCTTCATCAGAAGTGATCTGATGTTAAAACTTAAGTCCTTACATACTCCAGTCTACTATCTTCATCAAGAGGGATCTGTTGTTAAAACTTGAGTCAATACTCCAGTCTAGAGTCTTCGTCAGGAATGATCTAATGTTGAAAATAGAGCTCTTATATACTCCAGTCTAGTGTCTTCATCAGGAATGATCGGATTTTGAAACATGAGTTCTTATATACTCCAGCCTTGTGTTTTCATCGCAATTAATGTTGAAGCCTGCAACATTATTACTACATTCTGTGTAGTATCAGGATTGATTTCATATTATGTGCTGAACCTATTTGTTCTCGAAACTACGTTTTTATGAAGTTGCATGATGAAATTTTAACGTTATATAAGTCTTTCGTATGAGCTCCGAGCGTGAGTTCAATGCACTAGAACGCTATTAAATTTTTGTGATTATTTTATTCACTAGCGAAGAAGTTACTTACAACAGTCGTGAGCTTAAATTATGTGTTTAAGTGAAACTAGGATAGGCTAATTTCTTTGATGGCAGTACATTATTCTCGACAGAATATTATACATACGTTATGTACGTCACTACAAAATAATCTATCCTCATTGTTTTGATTGTTTATTACTTATGCTGTGGTAAGCTCGAATGCCACTTTCATGTGCCATATACACACCACAGTTTGACGATATATGCAAATTTTTACCAGATACGGTCGGAAGAGATTAAACACCCCCCTGTTCTGAACTTTACAACTATACAAATCAGGTGGAAGAGTCTAAGCTCATCAGTAAAAAATTGCACGTATGATCACACTGATACAACATCAAGTGCCGTTTCCTCAAGAAAATGTCTCTTACTAATTTTTTATAGAAAACTATTCCATCTAAATCATCTGCTTCATCATCTGCTGATGCTCCTCGGTCCATTAAATGGTGTGGAAGGGAGCGCCGTCTACTCGCTGTCGCGTGATCTTGTGGGTAAAGTAAAAAGATGCAAGCTCATTTCGCCAGTGTTGTTTAGATAGAAATTGATTAAAAACTTTTCTATTAGAAGGTGACGTTTGATAAAGGTATTTATCTTCCTGCAAGTACATGCATTTTTCCAGAAAAAACTGAGCTTTATGCTTCGACTTAGGTTTTTTCATTCAATAGCCCTTTTCCCATGCGTTTGTACATCGGGACTTTTTGTTGTGAATAGGAATAAATAATTCTGTTAATTAAACAATATTGTTTGTTTTGCATACACTTGTATTTGAATTTTAATGTCAGAAGTTTTATTAACGCCCGCCAAACTTTTCCAGAAACCTATTTAGATGAGGTTTCACGTTCTCCGAATCTTTTCATCTTGAAGTTACTGCCTCGTGAAAGTTAACATGAAATTTTTGTGAATAGTATAAGGTATATTGGGTATGCGTTGCAAAAGGGATAATACGGCGAAGCTCTGCTATCTTAGGTAGTTCTTTATAAGGTAAAGTTCGTGAAACCAATGAAGCTGCAACCTGCTATCTATGTTAATTCTCTGAATTATCTTAGCACAAATGCCTTTTGATGCTCTATTGCCATAAATTTACTAATTTAATCATTGTAAGGATGGTATATATGGAATGTATTTGTTTCATTTTTATGTAATACTATAATAAAAGCAATAGTAAAATACATGCAATAGTGAAGACACGCCAGCCCTCGCATACGTCACATCATCTGTGTTAGCTTCTGGATAAATTCACTGTGTAATACAAAATTTCAATTCGTTTAGTAATTTCAAAATGGCTAACATTAGAGTGTGATGTCGAATGAAATGAAAGATAAAGAAGAAATTATGAAAGCTTGCTAATTCCTGCAAGTTAAAAGTTTTACGATTTTTCGTTTCTCCAAAAAAGTGTTTAGGAAAACTGTATATACTGGTTATCTCGCTGCTGATCTGAAAAATTCCAAAACATTGAGAACTGATGCCCATATTCATCACCTCTTATAAACTGTATTTTGACCAAATTTTCCAAAAAAAAATTATTAATTTTTTGGGAGCCTTAACTATTTAATTTTAAGACGTTGTCGTTTATATTTTGAAAAACATTATAAATTACGGCCAAAAAGCTTTCAAAGCTATGTTGTTTAAAAATTTACTCCATAGCAACGGCCTAGCAACGCATTTAGGTTGAGATTTCCTCAAAATTTGGTCGAAATACTGGTCAAAAAATTGTCATTTTTGTTTCTCCTTTTGGTGCATTGAATTCAGAGTCTTTTGACATAATTGTATTCTAATTGGTTCCTTTGGGGAGCCATGGCAATGAAAGTCTTGTCTGTCTCGAGAGCGATGCGTTTGCATTTCTGGCGAAGTTGTCTACAAATTTCTTAGTTTTTTGTAACATTTCAAGTGCTAAATTTGCTGCTTTTATTTCCCAACTATTGTTTTTGTTATTTTGTTGGGGGATTTGAAGTTAAATGATGGGAAATCCTCAAAATAGAGGTAGAAAACGGGTGTGAAAAAATGGCAAAGAAATGCAAAAATGGCGAACCTTGTGACAAAGAGGTTGGATCTTCCGGTGCGAAAATTGGTAATCAGACAGCAAATTTTGCTGTCCATTCCAACATTATAACAGAAGATACTATATTTCTGGACTTATCAGTTTTATTTATAGTCTTAAATGAGATTCTGAAATGTCCGAACGGTGGGAAAGCAATGAACTCACATTCGGAAGCAGACTGCGGAAACTAAAAACCTCGAACAAAGGGAGAAACCTCTCGGATGGTAAAGGTTTGTCTGGAAAAGGTCGGCTAACTACGCAAAAGATGGACATTCTTCGAAACTATTATGGTTTGGCAATAAGGGGAAACCTTAATAGTGTTGAAGAAATGGCCAAAGCTGCTAGGGCATCTTTTTCCATGTTGCCTCCTCAGAGAAGAATCCTCAGCATCACCTGTGTCCAAAAGGAAAAGATAGTTGGTGTGGCTACCTAAGAGATCACACCACCTACCAACACAAGACTGGTATTCCTGGGCCCATAGTAGAACTGATTGAGCCAATATTCAATGATCTAACTGACCCAGATTTGTTGAAGAAATGTACACATGGATTGACACAGAATCCGAACGAGTGTTTGAATGGACTCATTTGGGACAGATCTCCCAAGGAACTGTCTCTTTAGCAACATATTTGGCAGTGTTGAAGTTTAATGATGGAGACATCTCCTATATTAACATTTTTCATGATTTAGACATAATGCTTGGGGTATTTATGACCAAAGGTGCGCAAGACTCCGACAAAGCCAGGATAAAGTTATCAGTCCAAAAGAATTCCAAGCAAGTGAAAAGTAGGAGGCAAGGTCCGAATTATCGCAAAAAAATTGCTTCGCAACTTTTTTCGAATAAGTTCCTACCGACCCCCCCGTTCCGATCAACCCCCCCCGATTTACTTTCCTCTCGCAATTTTTACAATGCACATGATTACGCCAATATTTTTTATTAATTTTAAAAACTATAAACTAAAATCCTCGCATTCGTTCTCTTCCAAATCGGAAAGCGTAACTGCTGCAATATCAACAACGTTTGTAGATGACGTTGACTTTGATTGCCTTTCTGCTGGATACTTTCGTGGTTTTGCACCATTTGGGCGTCTAATCTTTTGCTCTAGCCAATATTGGAGAGCTTCCTCCGCATTGAATTCAGCTAACGGGCATCCTTCTTCACCAATTCTTAGCTGAGCGTCGAGTCGTTGTGTACTCAAACGATTTCGCAGAGTTGTCTTAATTCTGTTCATTCGGCTAAATAAACGCTCCACCTTGGCATTCGTGAATGGTGTTATGAGCAACAATTCAATTATATGCAGTACATTTTTGCACTCTTTTTGCATTATAAGTTATAATGCAATAACAATATAAGTTATAAGTTATAATTTATAACATTTTCCCAGATGCTTTGCCATACATTTACATATTTTTCCTTTTTTCTGCTCCAACTATGTAGCTTTTGACGTGGCACTAGCAGAAGAAATATTCAGTTATCCAACTGTATAATACGAAAGGAAAACGATGCATTTACTATTCAAACCTTCAAACGATTCCATTCTGAGACGACTTTGTCATTGTTGCATCCATTCTGAACAAGTATAGCCTGTTAAAACTCTTTCAGTTCTAAAATTGCCTTGTCGCCATACCGCTTAAGTGCTTCGTCGTCCTTGGGCCACATTGCAAAGTCCAATATGACTGGCAGATTTTAAACACCACTTTCTCGGAACTCTTCAAGTCTTCCTTGCACACCCTCGACACTGCATTAATCATTTTTTTCAAGTTTTCGTTACTTTCCTCCGGGACGCATTAAACCCTTTTAGCTTTATTTTTGGTAAGAAACATCTTCAGAAACAGAAAGGCAATGTTACGACATAAAGTATTACATTTACAAAACACTAATTATAACATTTAAAAGTACCTGCTTCATCTTCATCGTCTTCAAGTTCTTCCACTTGATGCCTGGTAATTTTTGACGTTTTGTCAAAGGTTGGTGAGTTCTACTGTGTAAAAACATTTCAAGCGTACGTAAAGTCAGGGACTCATTCATCAATTACTTACCGTCGTCGGACGTTGTGGCTTCGCACTCCTTCAAAAACCGTGTAAAATTAATAAGTTTTTCGGAGTCGTCCTGAACGCATTTATTGATGAATTCTTTTAGTTTGACCATAGTCCACTCAAATTCATTAATGCGCTTCACCGCTTTAACAGGGTCGTGAACTTCTTTTTGGAATCCCAGGCAAAGAACCTAAAAATAAAAGTCACAACTCTTAATTTTGCACCAGATTATATAAGTTGTGATTAGACAGCAAATCTGAACATTGAACCGTCATACTAATTACCTTCAAAGGCGTCAAACTGTCAATGTATACTGTCATCAGCATAGGATACTTTGCATACGTCCATTTTGACAAAAAACCCTGCAATTCTTCTCTTTTTGCTGGCACCGAATCTGTTTGGGACAATGACTCAATGTGTAGCATGTATGCGCCATAATTGGCAACAAAGGTCTCCATGGCTTTCAATTGTTGGGTGATCCATCTCGTTCCAAAGGCTTTGGCTGGCTTTGCTATGCTCTTTTCGAAAATCTCGCTGAATCCCTTCAATTCGCGATAGCGCTTTGCCGACTTTAGTAGGCAGTGTTGTAACGAGTAATCATTACTTTCCTGTCAATCTCTGCCATTTTCATCAAACCTTTTCCAATTGGAGATCGTTCAACAACTTGTGCGCCAAAAGTTTCGCCCAAGGACTTCTGATCAAAAAGACGTTTTGCATGTTGATGTACTTTACCTTGGACATGTTTTTTCAAGCTATCTAATTTGACAGATGTTGTCCCATCTATCCATGCTTGCGAAAAACCAGCTATTGAAGAAATTGTTGAGGAGAATTCCACACAGACAGAACATTTTAACGCTTCTACTTATCTGTACTGTACTAAGACTTTTGATCAATTTAACGTTTAAATCTCGCTGCCAATTTTCTACAGTCTTTGCTTCGCCATCGTTAACGTATGCAGTGTGTATTAGTTTGTGACTTTGTCACTTCGCGTTTCAGATCATATTGAAAATGTTACGTTTCATATACAATTGATAGCGACGTTTTTTAAAAAGTTGCGACCATTTTAGGATAAATTCCTGTTAGTCACATTCCTGAGGCATGATGTAATAGCAACGCTTTGAAATTATGCAAATAGTGCAAGAAATTTGATCATTTGATATTTCTTTTGACGTAATTTAAAACTTAGGGAGTGGTCGCAAAGCATAATAAAAACACATCCATCACAGCAATATAAAAAGAGTGCTTTCAGTAAGCAAATTTACATTAAATAACAAGAAATGCGAAATGAGCTTCGCAATTTTACGAAATTTGCTTCGCAATATTTCGCCAAAATCGAAATCACTTCGCAATTTGCGATTTGCGAAGCGCTAATTCGGACCTTGGGAGGAAGTCACTTAGGCATCTCAGAAAGAAGTTTCTGGAAAATGCTGAAGACTTGGAAGGGGTAACTTATGAAGCAGGTAGCTTCTAAGCCTTCAAAGTTGTAGATGAACTGGAATGAAACTTTACATTGGATTTTCTCATTTTCGCATTTTTGCAATAGTCAGTGATTTTTGTGACACTATAAATTTGTAAATATTTGATGCAGAGGCTTGATATTTGGCATACTTACTAACTATATTATCCTCTATTATGTGACACTCTTGAATTTTTAATGCTGTTTATATTTAATGAATTAAAG